TAGGTTAGTTTAGGTTAATTTATATTTGCTGGGTGAAATTCGAGGAAAAATATCCATCATACAGGGTGTCAATGCTGTTTGTCAAGCTTAGGAGATGCCTGACATCAAGTTTTAAGAAGTCTTCTCGCTCTCCAAACTGCTGGCCGCATCCTTCATATTGTACTTTCATCTCCTTAAAAAAATATGTACATCATTTGGATTAACTAATCATTAGGCAAAGAAATATAAAGCATCAAGCAAAGAATTGCTGACCGAGCACAACTAAAAGCCAACATGACAAATAATGTGCACCTTAATGAGTTTGTACTCTCTATACGTGTGAAGCACAAGAATTCTTTTGCACTCACGTCATGCGCTGTTCATCATATTGGTTTACCTGATTCCCCTCGTCATGGCTATGGCAAAAGATAAATTAGTTTGTTGAAGGATTTTTCAATTTGCCATGTTTCGAACTTGTTTGTGGTAAATGTGGTTGTGCAGTGCACTTGCACACATGTACAGACGCATAGATATATACATGTGTGAACGTGTATGCATGTTACCGGCATTCAACACCTTTTTAGCAAGCAATTTCAGCAGCTGCCGGTAGTTGTATACTTCAGTATATTCCTGGTTTTATATCTATCTATGTATATGTATGTGTTGGCAACAAGTGAGTGCCGAAAATTTACATATAACATTGTGTACGTAGATTCCATCCATGGCTAACAAGTGTTAAATAAGATATAAATGAACTTGTTGTTGAAGTGGAACGTCAAGCTCTTTAGAAGCAACTTTAAGCGGATTTCGGGAGGTGACTTGGAACATAACTATATCCTTTCACCTAGCACTTTTCCATTAGAGAGTGTTTTGATTGAATGTAGTTTATTCGTTTCAGCTTTCAAACAAAAGCCACAAAAGCTATCCATTCCTCTTTCGTTGTAATTGACATTTTATAAACAGTTAGCTTGCTATTCTTACGAAAATTTAGAATATATCATGTTTAAGAGCAGCAGTGGGCTCAGAAACGTCTCTTTATGGGAGAAAATAATTTATACTAGACTAGTTGAGAAACGTAAATGCAAGCACACACTATCCTTACATCGAAAAGTGTTCGTAATTCTGCACATTCTACATACAAGCATAATATTTTACCGTAACTCTCCATAAAATAATTCAGTTTTCCTTTAAAAGCGAAAACTGAAATCGTCTCTGCGAAAAGTAGAATCCGTAAAGCGCAGAAGAACTAAATTATCATCTGAACTTCTGACAAAACCTTTCCCCAAACTAACAGAGATTAGTTAAAATAGATTAGACCAAAGCCGTTATTAACAAAATTTGTGTTTGCTCTAAGACGGATTTAGTTTTCACCAAGAACCACAATAACAACACAACTGCTCATAAATTTATACAGCCGATATCCATGCCTTTCTCACGTCCCGCCACTTTTTTCCGTTTTAACTTTCAATTTATGTACGCCAAAGCTACGCCCACCTGCACCCAATCAGAAAGGCTTTGCGCAATCAACGTTACAATTTGCAGTGAACCATAAATTTGTGCAAACTTTATGATTTATTGCCAAAGATTATTAGATTTAACTTCAGCATACAACAACAATCATTTCGCCAATGTTCGCTTCTTCACTCTAATCGTCAACTTCTTAAGCCAATCAATATTGCTCTGGCAACTAAGGGAACACTTCAAAGGCCGCACTTTCAGCAATTTGATTAGTGCGATGCCCTACTAGCATCTATGTAGGTGTGTTGACTTGTGTGCGGAATCCCATTGCATTGGCAGGTGCCTTCGGAAAATCAGCTAACGATTTATACGCCCTCTACGGCGGTAATTTAAGTGTAATTTCATTCGCTTTGACAATTTCTAATCTGAAGGCGTTTACAATGGACGGCATGCGTTGAGAGAACTGTCGATTCGAATTAACGTTATTTCGCAACGGTATAAATTAAACATATTTGGATAGAAGAATGATTATATATATATATAATGAGTAGTAATCCATTAGTTGTGTGTGATATGTACATTGCGTTCTATAAGTGCAATAGATATGGCTTTAGAAAAATGATATTTTGCACAAAAAATTAAACGGGAGAAGTGTTGAGCACTTCACTCAGTAGTGTTTGAGCGTATGCCAAAGATGGACACGAGCGAAGAGAAATTACGCTACATTTTCCATTTTTTCCCGAAAATGTGATTAGTTTTTTGGCTTCGTCGATTTCCTTCCGATAATTTTGATGTAAAAGATTCTGCACAATTGTGGAGAATATCGATTAAGTACTGAAAACCGTCGAGCGATCGGATGATGACTGGTGATGAGAAGTGGATCACTTACAACAATGCCAAATTAAAACGGTCGTTAATGAAAGCAAAACGCCGGAAAACCTATAATATATTCCCCCAAGCTCAACATCTTAAAAATGCTTTTTCTATATTAAATTTTCCTTTCATAAACTTCCTTTGCTTTAGGAAAAAGAGCAGGTCGCAATTGAACTATGGCAAGTTTATTGTGGGCGACAGCCGATTTCCACCTTCCAAAATTGGGTTAAACATAAACCTATGTAGTTTGTGTCATATCAGAGTAAGAATTTTCCGGCCAAGCGTATGCAAATCTTACATCACCATACGACCACGACTTCAACATCAAGCGCAATTATGTTTGATAAGATACTCAAATGCGCAGACGGTATACCAGCCCTTATTACACCGAGAATCCGCACTCATAACGTCAACTCAATAACTAAGAGAATTCCAATATTCGTTGGTTAGCGTTGCCGTAATGACCGCACGCTGATAACCGTTAAGATACAGCGCATCCACAGATATGCAGGAATATGGGAAATAAACTCATGGCTCATGCCTATTAGCGTTGATAGGAGAAGAGAAGTTAACTGAATTCGTACCTCGCACGTACCTACTTCGAGTAAAAGTGATTTCGGTGACATAAATGAATCGTCCATATGGTACATACATACTTACATAATATAGTTATATCTGAGATCCCGTTAAGAGCCGAATTTGAGTTATTAACCATTAACCTAAAGTTCAAACACTTATTCTGGACAACTGTAAATTTAACTGGGCAAAAGCTTCCTACTGGATAGTTGCAAGTGGCAAAATGAATTTCGCGCTTCATTTGCTTGTATTCTAATTAATGTTGTGCATCGAATTGCACATATAAATGTAGCCGTGTGCTCATTCGCTTCATTTCGCTTGATGGTTCACGACCGCGTTGAGTTCATGATAATTTCCCATGCACTCAACTACTCCGGTGCAAACATCATTCCCGGCATGCGAACGTGATGATAATGCAATAATTGCCAATGTTGAGAAGCAATTTCTTGTATAAGCCGATTTGTTGTTGGGAGTTTTTAGTTTACACTTTAAGTTGAACTTTTTATTTTAAAAATTTATTTTTACTTTTATTTTTTGTATTGTGGCCCAACAACTGACTGGCTCATAAATTCAATCCAATTTATAATACTATTTTGAATCACAACGTTTGAACAGTTGAATAGAGAAGGTGTTGTTGTCCCCAACAACCGCGCCGTGAGTTTTGTTTTCTCCAAACTGGATAAAGAAGTGAGGTGTATGGTTGTGGTAGGGAACAAGTGCAAGAGGCACGGATCATGGCAACATTCGAGGAGACGGGGTTAGGAGCTTTCTAGCGAAAGGTTTTGCGTAAGATTTATGATTATATGCGCATTGGAAACGTTCGTCGTACGAGATAAAGGGTGAAATTGACGTAGCTCAACGAATCAAAAGTCAGCGGATGCGCTGGTTGGATCAGTTGGCCTGGACAGGTAAGAATACTCCAGCTTCAAAAGTTTTCTATATAGTATTCGCCGTTGCAAGCAGCGGAAGAGGAAGACCTAAATTCCGTTGGAAGAATCAGGTGGAGAGTCACCTGTATTCACTTGGTATTTCCAAGGGGCGCCATACATCGAAAGGAAGGAAAAAATGGTGCGCTGTAGTTAAGTCGACTATAATCGCAGAAGTGGTGGCCAGTATAGAAGAAGAATTTTTAAAACTAGTTTCTCCATATTTATTTGCGGCTTTGTAGTCCCGAAAGCGTTTTTCTGCAGTTCTGGATGTTGGTCAGATCGGTTTCCGAACCTATATATGTAATTGGCGCTTTGTAACCGCTGAAGTGATTTTCGCCCGAGCTCTTCCTCCGATTTGTGGTTTTTCAAAAAATGGAGGGACCTACAGATTATACTTAAGCGCCTCCGAACGGCTGATGGTTTTTTTACGAGGAGCCTTTTTTTCATGTCCGAAATACACTCAGAGGGGTGGACATTCCCTGCTTAGGGGCGACCGTTATTAAAAAATTTAGCTTAATTTTTCATTTAAATTGATTTTCTATAACTTTAAGATGCTGGTTGTGCCAGGATTTTAGCCCGGGCCTTCCGAATGGCTATACGCAATGCTAACCACTCGGCTACCTCGACCGCCAAATCAAATGTAGCTAACCTTATTTTGGCTCGATATGTAGCAAAGGCTAATAGCCATGGATCCAGCACTTTACAACTAAATAGAATGAAGAGCTTATTGCTGTAACTAAGACCGACTTTTTTTCTTTTAAGTATAAAATTCTGAAAGAGTGGTATTGAAATGTAAGAGCGGTCCTGGAATTGTTGTGCGGTTCTTTATTGAGATAACGTTGCTCGGGGCTTTCCAGTCACAGACTATGCATTTTACCAATACAATAACCCCAAGACCAAATATAGATTGAGACCGTGGCGAATTAATTACTTTTTAAAAAGAGGATGGAACCCTTTTTCTGAGGTTGAGATACAAAGCTTTTGGAAACAATGCTTGGTAACGTGTGATTAACTACGTGATCTGCAAAACCCAGATTCTCTCAAAAAACAAAATAGGCCAAATGTATCGACTTTCACCAAATCCCTGCACATTCTCCAATAAATTCTAAATAAATGGATTACATTTTCAACGAATTCTCAAATGGTTTCTTTCCCCTCGCTCATCTCCAAATTTTATTTTTTCAGGACATCGACTATGATGGCTTTCGCAGCTTCCTTGACGCATTCCTAGACTGTGAGACACCAGTTGACTTGGCCAAGCATTTATTTGTTTCCTTCCTCAAACCGAATGTCACACAGTCACAGCTGCACGGCAAGGCGCTCAATCAGATGGCAGCCATTAGCAGTACGACGGCTTGTGCGGCTGTCACATCGCATACGAAGGGTGAGTGTGGGGTGTGTGGAGAGAGTAAAGTCAAAACAGTTGCAAGTGTCGCTTTGAATTGTTCGCAATATTTTCAATTTCAAATTTAATACATAGTTTCCTTTCTTTCTTATTTCTTTTTGTCATGCTATTCACATTGTACTTGCCAATATTAAGGCTCCATTCCGAATATCAATAGCATTGCTGAAATTGCAGCGCCGTCGGCAAGCGAACAACCTTCGAGACACACATTAGTAGAAAAGATTCATGGCATCACCGATAAGCTGCATTCATTGAGTGGCCATTTGACACATGATCCCAGTAAAACGGGTGAGTTAACAAGAGAGAGACGTCGTGAAGTGTGTGAAGTATGAGAGCTGAGGACTCCACTTCAAATGGTTGAATGCATCTGAAAATTCAGATTTATTTTAATCGTGTCCTCATGTATTAAAATTCAATTACGTTTAATTTTTTATTTTTATCTCTGTCTTTGGCAGGCTGCGTACATCCCATGGTCACTGTTACGCCCAGTTCACTCGCTGGTGGCCCATCATCGATGTTCCAGAGCAGTGCTGCGGCGCGTCGTTCAGTCGATTCGAGTCCATCACATTCGCAGGCGAATCACTCACAGATGTCACGGAACTCATCAAAGAAGAGTAACAATTCGGTTAATTGTAAAGTCGATAGTGAGTATTTTTTCCAACATTCACATACAGAAAATGTTAGAGTGAGTATGAACGCTCCGCAATGAGCGGTTTTGGTCTGTCCTTGGCATGAAAACCAATGCCCAAAGTGAAAGGCATTACCTGCTATCGCGATCCAACACTTACCAAAAACTACTCAGAATTATTTTGCAAATTGTTCCAGACAGTGTCCGACCGACGATATAATTTTCCTCAACCAGACCCAAAGCAGCATCGAGTTCGTCTGTAAAATATTGGCCGCTTTTTCAATAAGCACTAAAGTTTACTGTTGCCTCAACGACACGCAGAGCAGCTTTTTCTAACCTATTTCTTATCCGCTCTACACATTCTCCTATTGTCACACTTGTCATTGGGCTTAGTTCAAAATCATCAGTTTTCATTTTCAAAACAATTTATTGTACGATTTGTTATTTATTTTATTTTATATGATGATATATACTTTTAACCCGACGCAAGGCTGTTAAATGCATACGAACAAGCCGCAATTTAGTAAATTCAGCTTCGGGAGCTGCTTTGAGTCACCATTTTCCCGCGGTAAAAATGAAACTCCAGGAACAACAACAGCAACAGCCAGCAGCTCCAGGGCCACCACATCCTCAAAACGACAGCCACGCAACTGTGAGCATGCGCGCCTCGGTGTAGTATGTGAACCAGTAAAGCTGAATGTCTACGATATATTAAAAATCAACGAGTATTCATCTTACATCGGACTCGGCGTCTTTCACTCCGGCATCGAGTTGTATGGCAGCGAATTTGCTTATGGCGGTCATCAGTTCCCCTTCACCGGCATCTTCGAAATGGTGCCACGTGATTACGCAGATTTAGGAGCAAATTTTCGGTTTCGTCAAACAATTCCTCTCGGTTGCACACAGTTCACCTGCCATCAGGTATATCAGATTGTTGAGGAGTTGGGCCAGAGATTCACGGGGAGCTCCTATCATTTGATCCACAATAACTGTAATCATTTCTGTGATTACATGGCGCAATTCCTCTGCGGTAGGGGTATACCGTCCTGGGTCAATCGCTTGGCAACCATAACTGGTTATGTGCCGTTTCTGCAACGCTTCCTACCACGTGACTGGCTGACGCCGAGGGCGACTCTGCAAGAAAGTGTAACCATTATGAATAATAGTAATTCAACATCTTACGCGAATGTGATTAATAAAGAAAAATGAATTGAAGTGAGTAATGGATAAAACGCCGGCTTTAGGAAATCTTTAATTGTCTTGCTATTTGTAAGGCGAGCCTGAGAACCAAATTGCTATAGGTCGAAAATAAGCCATTGTGCTCTTATGTACCTTATCTCTTTATCATTGAAGCCTCAGTATATACACATTGTACATTAAACTAAACAAGTTGAAAAATAAATTTAATAAATCTGAATAATAAAAATTTTACCTGACGCCACAGAGGAGTGCGTCAGCATTGCCCTACCATCCACATCACATGTAATCTGGTACGAAGCCTTTTTTAAAAACATGATGTCCACATTCTATGGCTCACGACACCACTGCTCTGCCATCAGTATTCCACTCAGCCCTCGTGCTCAGTCCAACTCATTTAGATAGCTCACCACATTATTAAAAATTTCATTTAAGCTAAGAATGTCATTATGAAAAATAGTCAAGCTCAACCTCTGCGTTGGTTCATGACAAACGACTTTATTTCGTAAAAGAGTATGTAGTTTTCTTTCTGATCAGCTTTCATTTGTTTAGACGCACACACAGCCAACGGGCTGTCATATGCTCGCCCTTTTCAAGTTGCATCTTAGTCACGGTGATGGTCAAAGCAATAGAGATGTAACAAATATTTGATTTAGATTCCGAAAATGCGCAACGTCCCTTCGATTAAGGGTTTTCTTCAGTTTCTTTGAAACAACCCTAAGAACTTCAGTTTGAAATTTGTGTCCAAACGGCCGATGGATTCTTTCGAGGGGCTTTATTTCATGTCATATATACACACGGAGGACAATCCCGGCCGAGGGCGACCGCAATTAGAAAGATTGGTTTTCTATAATAAATGAATATTTATGGTTCTGAAAGATGGGGCCAAAGTATGTTAGTATTCCATAATATATTTGAAAATCAGAATGGAAAGGAAGACTTTCTCTTGGTCGGTGTGATAATTATTTCCTGACTTAATATAAAAATTAAGCTATTTTGTCTTAAAAAGCTCCATCTGCCATCGCAATGCGACTATGAGCGACTGGCGTCACTAATCTTCTGAGACAGTTTCGATTTCTATTTGCACCAAATTTTTTTTCTGAACTAGAAGCGCAAGCAAAATCAACACACCAGATATTTCAGTCCTGGCACAAACACATGCACAGCAGACAGGTATTACGTCACACACCACAGGGGAGACGGATTTGTAAATATGTAGGCATGTACGTTTTTATTCTCAGTTTTGCGAACGTGATCCCATTATGGCCTCCCTGTCACTCAGTCATGCTGATATGAAGTAATAAGAATACGCGCAAGGACACACAAAGCCGCTCCTTACAAATACGAGCTATGTTATAGAAATACAGGCTCTTTTTTGGCTAGATTGCCGGATAACAAAAAATTCAACGAAATTGACTTTCATCATAAAAATTTGAATGTGAGAGGAAAACCAAATTCTTGCAACGCTTTGTGTCCTCAGAGTTTCGAAATTGATGTGTCACAAACTCATATGTTCATGTGCTTGTACACGTATATACATACATGCGAGCCCATGATACGCCTACATAATGTTGTGAAACTAGTCCGAGATAAGTCTCAATTAGACACTATTGGGCAAGTACGATTTGACGCTGTCAATAAGATGCATCTCGTTTGACCTTCGTTTTGGAATTTCATAAAAGCGAAGCTTGGTCAATAACGTCATGCCTTAATACGTATCTTGGGCACGTTAAAGGGAATACAAAATAAAGTCTTCTTGATAAGTTAAAAAGTTCCACTGGAAAACTTGCTCGATTTGCATAGTTAGATATCAAAGAGACTGTTTATGGCTTAGTGACTGACTAGTCCCAATAGATCTACAACAGCTTATAGCTAGTCTTTTGTACAAAAGGGAATGGTTCATAAAAGGGCTGCAAGTTGGCACTGGTCGGTATGTTCCTTAGCCTCTCAACCGGACTCGTCGCATTTTAGAATATGCGTACATTTTGTGTGTATATGAAGTGTAAGTCACTTATCGAATTACTACCATTTGTCATGCATGAACCAACGGAGAGCGTCCTGACGCGAATTGTATGTTCATATAAAATTCATTTCCGCCTGCCTGACACGATGTATGAGCAACGGAGCCATTATTAAGCTTCTTCCACGGCCATTCATACTTGTATATCTTTGCATATGGTTGGTTTCTGTGGAGAAATCTTTGTCATATTTTTTTGCATCTCACGTGTTGAGCTGCAGACTGTTTTCTGCGTCCTCACCGCGGGAATTGTTTACCTTTTATTTTTTCTGTATTTTCTTGCTACTTCATAAGGAAGGTTAAGGGTGTAAATTTTTCGTTTGCTAAATTGAATTTTTTGTCATTGCAAAAGTAAAAAAGTCATTATACTCCAAGTTTGTGTGTTTGCAAGGCAGGGTATAATATGAAGGGTGTTATTTTTAGATTTTTGGTTTCCAAGAAAAAATAAAAACCTAATAATTTAGTGTACCAGTTTTCGACCAATTTTGCCGCAATGGGAACCATGAGTTAGCAATAATACGCCGAACATTCTCTTTCGAGAGGTCAACTGTCTCGGACTTATCTGCGCAGACCTGCATTTTCCCATAAACTCACAAACAATACTCCGTAGTTCATAGGAAAAAGTCACTTGGCTCTATAGTATTCCCCATTGGTTGTAAGATTATGGCCGAACTAAATTTTAAACAAATATGGACCAATGAATCTCTCTGTCCATAGAGCAGATGAAACAGTGACATTTTGAGCATGTAAATGCGTCTCAACAATGGATTATGGATTATCATTACTCAAAATGCGACAATTTTGTTAATTAACGTAGCCTCTGAAAGGGAGCTTTATCACTGAACAAAATTTCCTTATGAAAATCGGAATCAGCGACCATCTCGTTTTGACCCCATTCACCAAATGCACGGCGCGGTTGATGATCGTTCAGCGTCACTCGGGTATTTGTCGATACTCTGCTCAACAGCAGCAATAGCGTCTTGGATACACCCTGTACGTCGTCTCTGAGGATGCGCATTGTCCACTAGAGTAGAAGCATTGTGAAGCCGATCCTTGGTTGTTCGGATTACCGCCTCTCTGTTGTTCCAGAGTAAGATTGTTTACTGTGAATTGGCAAACTGAATATAAACCAATTAATTGCAGCCAAAAAGACCAACGTCGAAAAATGTATTGCCCCATACAGTGGCTTTCTTTACCGAACAATATCAAAAGCGAGCTTTGAGGATATGAAAAATGTGTAGCAAATTCTATACGAAATTATATACGATGGAGCTGTTTTTAGAGGAAAAGCAACTATCAAAAGAATTGAGACGGTTATATATCTATTTTGCATTATTCCATCAAAATAACCCCACTCAGTGTGCTGCCATGTCCATCAGCAGATTGTTTACACCACTCACGCCCACCTCTCCATCTCTTCCTCTGCTCGACTATTGAATAATTAGCAACGCTGCCAATTTGTTTTTTCGTCCTCCCTCGAGATGCCATTCGTTAAAAGCATCCAAGCCCATCATCATTAAAGCAAGCGAGCAAAATGTCCCTACCCAATTTCAGTATTAAACGAACGCAATGTAAAGAAAGCTAGTCAGTCACACAGCCAGTTGCTGCAGTCAGTAGTATTATTGTTTTTTTTTTTACATTAAATCGTTATTCCAGCCCAGTGCTTCTTACGATTATATCATTTTTTTCCCACTATTATTGCTTTTGAATAAGTTTCGGTTGAAGCGGATTAATGTTCACTTTTTTCGTTCTTCCTCTATTTACGTGCTTTTCAACTTAAAACTTTACTCTTTAAATTTTTGCTGTTCGCCTCGTGAATAATGCGGTAAACCAATCCTGCCAATTAATTAGCTCCGAGCGAATGAAACCTTAAAGCACTCAGCGTTTTGAGCGAAACAGCATGAGTTGAAGGAGAAGGACTGCGGGGCAGCGGCAGTTCGGATTTACTCTAGGCATTTTGCCTTTGTTCCGCTTACATTATTTGAGCTTTCAGATGCTTCATGGTTGTTTAAATTATGGAAAAATAATATTTTTCCTTGACGCCATAAACCAATTAGAGCGGCTTCCACAAGAATGCCAATTCACACGCAAACACTAAGTACAAAGGTAAGCAAAAGCGAGAGAGCAAACACCGATTTGGTTGAAGGGAGGAATCAGAAATTATCTCGCCAGAAGTCATTCATACTGCTTGTATGGATGCGCACAAATTACTTATTAACGTAAGTTACTTCACCTGCTTGTCAACGGTATTTTCTCAACATAAGCTCTGGCAATGGTTTGGAAAGTGTAAGCGTTAATGCCTAAAACCGAAAAAAGAACTATAAAGATAATAAGTAATTTTCACATTATTTGAAGGTTAAATTGAAAGTTTGCATCAACAAGGAATGGTCAAAGACTTTAACGGCCACAACGCACTGATTTTTATCACTAGAGTATTACTGAATGGCAAAAAAATAGTTCGGTACGACTCAGTAATAGCTGTTCTGCGTTATTCTACTGGTACGGTTGGATTTGGAAAATGCCCAGTTTTTCCAGAAACAGAGGCAATCGTTTGTTTGGAAGTGTTTTGTGCGCGAACAAATTGAATTGAATTCGGTTTATCTTTAAACACCCATACAGTCGACTGCGGTTTACTTTCGGGCTCACACGTCCACGATCCACCGATCCGATATATATATATATATATATATATATATATATATATATGTGGCCCTTTGCATCCGCTAGCGATTGTAGCGATTTTTGACCGAGCTCCTTCTCCAATTTGTGCTGGGCTTAACATTCGCTAAATTAATTTTCAGTAATATTTGGAAGTTGATCGGATTAGGACTCGAACCCTACTAATGCCTATAGTTGTTTCAAATTCTTCGAAAAAGTCACATGAATCACGACCTTCATGAAGTGATATACGACCTCTAGGGTTAGCAAATCTGTAGAATACCAAATCTTACGTTCTACTGTCTATCTTTCAATATAATAATGATCTGGCGGTTCCCAAAAGATCAATACAGTATGAAAGATGTATTTACTTACCAAGTTTTGTGGAAATATCTCAGAAACTGAGAAAGTAACTTTCGTACAAACAGACGGACAAGCGGATATAGCTAAATCAAAAACGATGGGCTTATTCACTCTCCTCCGGGTATTTACTTATTTCATACTAAAGTTGACACACATTTAACGCCAATGAAAGGCAGAAAAAAATCTCACATATACAAATCAATTAAACTATTTAATTAAAACACTCGCCCAACAAATCGGCATAAGTATAATTTTAAAAACGATTCTTTCCCTGAGGGCACATCAAACAGAAAATTGAAAATCGAGCGTGTTGATTAATTACAGACGATAACGTTAAAAAACGGAACTTTTTTGGGTTAATAAATTAATCAGTGCCTTATTCTCTCCTTTCCATAATGACTCTTGCGAGTGAACGAACCATATGGCATACATGTTATCTCTCTCTCTCTCTCCCTTCGCTTCGCTTCTCTTTTCAGGGCAATTGAAAGTAAACAAATTTAATTAAATATTGATTTTGATAAATTACATTTTTTAAAAACACCAACAATTTGTTGAATGAATTGTCGTAATTCCATGTAAAAGGCAAATAATGATAAATTTGTAGAAAATTGAGCTGGACGAGTTGAAGGCTTTTGTGTGGGTAAGGCTACTATCACGGTGTGGGCTGGTGTTTTTGATGTATTCCGCACAGACGTATTGATGAAACTGAAATTATGTTTGTATGTTACACAAATTTAGGGCGTGGAGTAAGCGAAATGATGGTATTCTTCGTCTTCTGTGTCTTCGCCCTCCTCCACGGCAATAGCTCTTCCACTGCTACATGACTTGCACGACTGCACAAACTTTAGCTTTAACAATTATTACAAGTATTTCAATGCTTTTCAAATGCCGGCAAGCCAGCTAAGCAATACACTGGTCATCGGAAGCGTTCATCCTTTGACTGGTTTCAAATTTCACGCGTTTATCACATTATTTCACTCTACTGCAGTATATAAGACCACTCAGTTCTTATTATTTACGATCTTTCGTGTTTTCTTTTCGTTTAATATTTTTTCTTCTCTTCCCTTTTCTGCTTCTGCTTTTCTACTTGCAGCTGATATCAAACTCCTGGCACGCAAACTTTCACACTTTGATCCATTGACGCTGAAGGTGCCGCTCAAAGATGTCGTCTGCTATTTATCATTGCTGGAAGCCGGTCGACCGGAAGATAAACTTGAATGTGAGTTGTTAAATGTTTATTAGAAGCAGAATCACAAAAAAAGATTGCATGACAAAAATAATTGGATGGCCAAACTGAGAGAAAAAAGAAATAGGATATTGGGCAACGTGAGGGCGATGAGTGGCTTACTTGATATAAATATATTAAAAACCTGGCAAAATTGATGAGCTGAAGTATACAAGGAATGTGGAGGAAAAGGAAAGTATGAGATTATGAAAGCCCCGTTATTAATACTGCTATGAATGTTTGGTTGCCGGATTTAAGGATCATGGATGCTGTATAATATATTTTTCAGTTTGGTGGCCATAAGTGTCTCTCTTAAGTTATTTGCTCTAAACCACAAGGCATTATAAAGAATATCGGAGCTGGTGATCATGGTGACGTCTCTTCAATGGCGATGGCGTAAGCCACATGGTCGAAAAACAGATATGGATATCTTAATTATAAACACGGTCATTTCTCATTGGGACAGGCGGCTTGATGCGATGCGAATTTAACTTTGGTTACGAAACTCAAACGATCCGAGTATTAAAAAATATAATATTCGTAAAAGGGACCGTTTTGAGAAAAATTTATACCTAAAATATTTCGGAACATCCAGAACAGATTTACAAGTGCCACCAAAACGAATATTTATGTACTATTGAATACTTGATTAGATGCAATGAACGGGGCTTAGCTCTCTGGAAGTCATTCGCCTAAATGTAGGCCATAAGATTCAATCAACAAAAATAGGAGATACTCTTAAATCATACTTTAATATAAATAAACTTTACACAAATACTAGGGAAATGTGCACAAGTTAATATTGGCAAGTTCATCCAATGCACAAGGCAAAAAACTAAGATGAGCAAAAACTGTGTAAAAGCCAGAAAGAGAAAAAAATTCATAAGAGAATTACAAATTATGTTGTCTCAAAGAAATTAACAAACTTACTGTTGAAAGCGCTGCAAGTGTCCGACTGCAATAAATGGCAGGCAGAATGTTGCAAGCTGCAAATTGTATCGTATTTCAAGGCGCTGCCACACTCGTTGCGTGCGGCTTAGCTTTTTTCTCGACAGTGGAAGCTGCTCTTAAATCAAAGCTAATTTATTGTTGTTAAAAACAAAAAACATAAAAATTATAGCTGAGCCGTATGCATAAATTATGCGTTCGTCTTTTACGTACAGATTTGAAGAATACTCGTAGATTTCTTTCTGTCTCTCTCTCAGCAATCAGCCACATGATATTTTTCATAATATATTATGCTTTTTTCCTTTATCTCGCCCTCTTTGTTTCATAGTCATGTTTCGTCTGTACGATACCGACAGCAACGGTGTCCTGGATACAGCCGAAATGGATGCGATTGTTAATCAAATGATGGCTGTTGCCGAATATTTGGGTTGGGATGTCAGCGAATTACGGCCGGTAAGTAAGAGGACTACCTACAAGTATATTTATTTAACTGTGAAAACGAACAATAAAATAAGCACTTCCGTAGATACTGTAGCCATGCCATCTTCACTTATATTTGTTTTGAGTCGTATTTACCCCCATTTCCGATCATCCAGACTTGTTTATGTTCGTGACTGGTTGTCATGCACATCAAGTTGCTCATCATCAACATAAAAGTCATCAAAATCATCAAGTCGCTGCAATCATTACTCTCCCATTTTACTCATTTCCCTCATTTAATTACCACAATCTTCTTGCGTGTCATCAAAATTAAATGATGGAATCGTAAAATTTTCCATTGTAAATTCTCTGCTAGTTTCATCTCCCATTCCCTAATGATGATAACGATAAGTACGAAGACGGACGGGAGATGGCAAAATGAGCAAATTTTTTTTATTGTTGTGCTTACGCTTGCTGGTGCTTGTCGAGCCTTTTCTTTCTGGTTAGAAATACTCTCTAAGAGTTTAATATTCCTTACGAAGGAGAATTGATATTTTTATAAATTAATATTTTTCAATTAATTTTCCATTTTTGGCACAATCTGCCATTCAGCGCGAAATAAGCTACAACGAAATATCTTGCTTTACGACTTTTTTCCAATTTAATATTGCCAAAAGTCATATTTACGACTACATTTATATGTGTACGTTTTTATCAATTTTTATAACAATGTCTGCCATAAAAATTCTGGACATTCGTCGTAAAATGGGTATGGCATATAAATGTATGAATTTGTTGCAATATTTAAACAAGTTGCAAAGGAAACATATGTTTTAGCGAACGCTTGGACGAAAACTTTAGGCCGCCCTTCGCATATCCATACGGCCGTTTCCGTTTAAATAACGAAAATTCTTACACACGCACGCGCACACACATTCGCACATACTTTTGTGAATGTCCTTTGCCCAAAAACGCCATACCGCAACCCTGCGGTCAAACTCAATAAAACTTTTCCAATTATTGCTACTATTACTTGCCACTTCAATGCTTACACAAGCATAAAATTCGGCGCGTCCATTTACAAAGCAACAACTAACACGCTCACCTACATGAGCAAACACACACAAACAAAGCGAAAATTATGAATGAGCAACAACTAGCGGCTGATTATATCGCTAGTTACATGAATATTCATTACTTTATTTGATTTCATTGAGAACTATTGAAATAACTTTGAATTCTGTTTTTTTACCTTTGTTTAGTTCTGAAGGTGTATTTATACGCCCTGCGGCTCTAACTACTCAATTTGTTAGGTATTATGTAGAAGGAATTTATGCGGTGAACTCATCTCCCCGCATATTATAAAGCCAACAGCTTCATCAAAGAAAATTAAATAAACTGAATTTGGGGCGCGAAGTTTCGCGGGTTTGTGGGAAGAGGTAGGAGCAAAGAAATAAGTTCGTAAACAAATAAAGTCGAAGCTGATTTAAATCATTAAATTTAAGTAAATAACACTGATGGCCAAGAATAATTTCAGCTTGGCTTAAAAACAGCAAGATGAAAATTGACGTCCTCCCGTTATATGGAGAAAATGAAGCATAGGAGTTTCTCTTTCAAATAATATCAAAAAGATTCCAATGCGTGGAAACATGCTTTCGGTTTTTTGGTTTTTTTGTTAAATAAAATACAATAGAAAAAGTTATACCTAGGTCTCCAACTTGATAATCATCAACATTAAAGTTCTCATTTCATTTCGTTCATTACATTGGTATTTTCCGAACAGTTTCTTTTTATGATCCTTATTTTCAATGCAATTTAGCTCAAAATTAGGCTTGCGATTCCTCAACTTACACATACTATACTTATTTTGTTCTTTTATTCTACATATTCATCAACATTTCATCGCCATCAGCTCTTTTTTGTGCCACGCCTACCAGCGTGCGCTTCTGATATCACTCTGCTTCCGTCCCTGTCATGGTCCCGAATGGTTTATACGGAATTAAATTTTAAAGCAAGTTTTAAAAATAAATGCGCTCACAAAGCGCGGCAGCCAACTGCTGCTAACCCTTTTCGCTTTTTCACGGTGTTTTAACCAAATTGTGTAAATGGTGAATCAACTGCGGCAGCTGCCTGTACACTACTTATTTACGTTTTTTGTGGCTTACTCCGTGCCGCTGGCATTCAAGCACTAAAGACGCATGCATGTAGAGGAAAATATATTATACGTATGTATAAGTGTATGTGGTATTTTTATAGTCATTCGATTTGTTGCTAAAGAACTTACAGCTTGGCCTTACGAGTATTTAAATGGTAAAGTTGCGTATACGCCGTGTACACCGTCAGCCGGTGTAAGTTACCTAAATATACAAGACTCTCATACAAGTATATATGTACATCCATTTTCACAAATTCACACGCTCATTATACTACCTTCTCTCACATTTTTTAAACATACATATTCTACTTATGCTTCCTCCCTCCCACAGATTCTGCAAGACATGATGGTGGAAATTGACTATGATGCCGATGGCACCGTTTCACTGGAAGAGTGGCAACGTGGCGGCTTGACAACCATCCCTCTGCTGGTTTTGTTAGGTGAGTACGCGATTCGCTTCGTTTGTAGGGAGTTTTCTTTGTCAAACAAGGAAGTTGAAGGAATTTTAAGCAGGTAAAATGACTACTTAACTTGTTTAAACATAACTTGAGATAGAGACATTTAATTTCCACAAAACTTTGGTTTTGCTCTCAATTGTTGCAAACTGTTGTAGCTAATGTTGATTTGATGATTATTTCGCTTATAAAACCTATTTGAGTAGTTTAGGTTTAAAAGAGCATTTTAAAGGACTGCAAGGGAATAAAATAATATGGAACAACAGGACACTTTACTGCTTCGATGAAGAAAAATTCTGAAGTTGCCGATTCTCACAAAACACATTCCCGGATGTCGATCTCAAATGGACTCAATATGCGATGAATTTAACTAAATATGTCTCAGGCCTCCAATGGCTAGAATGATACCAGAGAGCTTGTCCGCTCCCTCTTTATAAGTGATCTTAGATCACATCCGTTCCTTGTTAGAATAGGACACATACGAATATGTTGTGGTTTCAGCGGGTGTAGTCATTTCCTGAAGCTTTCCTGAAGCAGGTGGGGGAGAATGTGAATAGTATTTAGGTTGGGCATTAGGTTTGTCTTAACCCAATGCAATAGGAGGTACCTGACGCTGCACAGACGGCAATCGTTTACTCATCTAGGGAGCAAAGAAGGGAACACGAAAACAGATCAGATAACGAGATATCTGATCTGAACCATTAGAACGTCAATTCCATTGCCAACAATAAGCACTTCGCTGATCACGCACTTTTCTTTTGGTTTCAGGGCAAGAAAGTGCAGGCATGAGTTAGTTTTGAATAATTGCTTCCGAAAGTTCGAACGTTCAAAATTTTTTCCGTCCTTATAGCGAGCTAATCATTTAGAAGCCTCCACTTGAGTGAGTGTAATGTAATTCATAAAAGTACCCAGTAACCAGTGCTTCGGTCTCTTAGTATATTTCTGACCTGAAATTAAAGAGCCCTTTAACGGTTCGGCCGCGGTAGCCGAGTGATTAGCATTGCGACTGCCATTCGGAAGGCTCGGGTTCAAATTCCCGTGCGACCAACACCCAAAAGTTATGGAAAATTAATTTAAATAAAAAATTAAGTTAAATTTTCTAATTGCGGTCGCCCTTCGGCAGGGAATGTCCACCCCTCCGAGTGTATTTCGGACATGAAACAAAGGTCCTCATAAAAAATCCATCAGCCGTTCGGAGGCGGCTTAGTATGAACTGTAGGTCCTTCCATGTGTTGGAAAAACATCAAAACGCAAAACCACAAATTGGAGGAGGAGCTCGGTCAAAAATCGCTTTAGCGGTTACGAAGCAACTTTTATATATATTAACTGTTCGAAGGCAGCATAGACTAATCTATTGCTCTTCTCCTTCCGTCGAAAATCGCTTCCTCGCTTTTTATCCCGTTGTCCCTCTGTTCCGTAGATATCTAGACTCACACACACTCCATATCTTTAAATTAAGAGTTCTTCAGTGTTTGTTACTTTGGAGATAGTGACGCTTTATCCATATTTACATACTTATTCTTACTTACTTAAAGGGATGTTTGTCTCTTATTTGCAATACTGTACTTCCTTTTTCTGTTTTCATTAAAGGCGTTGACAATACAGCTCTGAAGGAGGATGGCATTCATGTGTGGCGCTTAAAGCATTTCAGTAAACCGGCATATTGTAATCTCTGCCTGAACATGTTGGTCGGCCTTGGCAAGAAGGGTCTATGTTGTGTGTGTAAGTGCTACTACATTGACAAATCTTTATATATACGTATATTTGTTCATTTGTGTATTTTTAAGATTAGCGATGTCAAATGGACCAGTTGAAAACTACTCTGCCTTGTTTCGATAGAAGAAACTAAATAGATTGAAATGGCTAATGACAGTTTTCAGTCAGAAATATTCCGGCCTCAAACTAGTTCAATTCCTAGTTCAATCGTGAACAAAATTTCTATGTGTATGTTTTGTTTATGTTACATTCATCAGTTGTTTTCGCTACACAGCAGTCACATTTATGCATTGGTGTATGCGTTTAGTGCATTTCCGTTTAGAGATGAAGTTCATTTTAAACACCGGAAATTCAAATAATTCAGTAAAGTGAAAAGTTAAATTGGAACTGAATGGCTTTTGGGAAGCAAAGCAAAAGGATGGGGGAAAAAGACGAAGATCATTTACTTAAATTTACATTTTCCAAGCATCCATGTAAATAATCATTTGCAGCTTTCCACACATGAATTTCACATAGATTGGATGTGTACATGCAACTGCTTGTTGTTGCATTCTGCTTTATTTGCATAGCTTTACTTTTGCCGGATATCATTTGGCAAGTAAATTACTTCAAGAAAGCTAAATATATATTTTACATACATATGTGTATGTGTGCATTTACATAACTAAACGTTAGAAAAATAACTGAAATAAAATTTACATATATGTACATCCGTGTATATGTCCATTCGCTGGTTACTTATATTCTTAATGAATATAACTTCGGTCATTTAGAGCTAAATTATGCAAATTTAACTAGAGTAGAAGAAAAATAATACTTATTAAAATAAAATTAATTAATAAATAAATAATAAAATAAAACAAAATTAAATAAAATAAGACAAAATAAAGTAAGTAAAATAAAATAAAATAAAATAAAGCAAGCTAAATCAAAATATAGTGAAAAAAGTAATATAAAATGAAAAAATGAAATCAGCATTTTTTAATTCAAAGCCTGTTGAAAATTTGCGTTTAGAGAAATAATTGCATGTATTGCAGCAGTTTTTAAATTTTGAAATGAGTGTAATTGGCATTAATTAATTAGCCATTGAAATCACACGCCAAACTGTTCTGTAAAACATGGAAAAATGCATGTAGGCTAAACTGTTTATGTTGACACGGAATTGCAATTAACAACTGTTTTTGACATGTTTACTCTCCACTCTCCACTCTCCTTTTCTCTTTTGAACACGCCCGACTACGGCTGAAATTGCGTACTCATGGTATGCCGAAATGCTGGTGGACACAATGAAAAAACCAAAAAAAAATATAAACAAATTTATGATGATCGCACGCACACACTCATTCACTTACATCCGCTGATTACGATTATTGGAACAACGAACGCAATATTCCACAGTGTGCAAATACACCGTGCACGAACGATGCGTTCAACGTGCCCCACCTTCTTGCATCACGACCTACGTGAAAACGAAAAAGGCCAAAGGTGGCGGTGACATGCTTCACCATTGGGTCGATGGTAATTGCTATGGTCGCTGCTCCAAGTGTCGCAAGCGCATTAAGGCGTATCACGGCATCACCGGTTTGACGTGTCGTTGGTGTCATATGATGGTAAGTGTGTATAAATACGAATCTACATAAACATTATTGTAGTGATCTCTTGGTCTTCGCATAAGTCAATTGAATACTAATGCATGTGATTGTGTGCATGTGGAGAAAGTGACGATAAATCGGCCGTAGAAGGTAGGAAGTATAATTTATTAATATTCTTAACTTGTAATAAGCCGTCGGAGAAAGCATCGGAGACGCTTGAGAAATCAGATATCATGCGTACAAATCCTGTTGTTACGGAGTGTTAGGGCCTAAATATGGATGGGATTGTACATGTACTTAGCTCGGTTTTTAATCCAGACACTATTATTTATAATGCAGCGACTGAAATGTTTCAGTGATATGGCTGCGCAGCTCATTCAATACGAAACTGTCTATCGGCAAAGACGTTTGTTTTTCCTTCTCAAGAAGTCTCTTTACCCTAAAGATTTTCTTTATTTACGTGCAAACTTCCCTGAACGACTACTGACAAAGCAAATAACTAACAAGTTTTTATAGAGACAGAAGGGTTTAATATATATTACTATAAAGATTTTGTTCAATCAGAATGGATTTAGTGAGGGTTGGAACTGAAGCTAACTACTTATCTCTAGGTATTGCAAGGTCAGGACTATATTTTGGAATGTTAAAAGGCTCCATATATCTGTTGTTTAAAATTCCTGTGCAAACAATTTCTTAACAATATGAATTAGTAGAGCATAGGTACTTTGGCCTCCATTACGTACAAAGCGAAGTCACGTGGACAGTATGAAATGTGCACCTTTTCGCTTCAAATGATAATTTTTGGCGACCGCTGATTCGGTCCTACCGTTTATGCTATTCCGCCTCCGAAAGGCTGGAAAGGCAACCGGAATTAGAAAATTTAATTCTTTTTAATAAAACTAATTTCTTACAACTTTTTGGATGTAAATACAAGACGTCAACCTGAGCCTTCCGCATGGCAGTACGCAATGCTAACCACTCGTCTACCACAGCCGCCCGGCATTAGTTCATACAATCCTGCTCCTGACATCTTCTTAGCTAACCAAAATACTCTACCGTCATTGAGAGAAACTGACGCGTGGATATTCTGTTCACTCCTCAGGTCTTCATACCAAGCTCGCCTCGAATTCCTAGTTGTCAATCAAAGTCATTGCCTTGGCATAGTTTCGCTGTGCTTTGTGACATCTATTTTAGTTTTGTATTTGTTTTTTTTTTTTTTAATAAAAATTGCATTTACATATACTTGCAATGAACATGTGCTCGTGCATCTGTTTGCATATTCTCCCGCCGCATATACCACTTCGTGCTTCGCTGGGTTCGCAGATATTCCCACAACTCTATTGACAGCAATTCGCAATTTTAATTTGACATGCAATGTCGCGACAACAACAACAACGTTGTTAGCTCTTGCGCTTATACATAGATATGTAGCGCATTTGCATTTTCACACATCCCTCCTGGCATTTCTCCCGCTCTGGCCATGACTCCTTCAAGTCAGTTGTTTCTTCTATCCATTTCTGTTGCAATTTGCATTGTTATTGTGTTTTGTGAAATTGCAAGACTGAATTGACAAGAGTAAATGTTGTTGTTGTTAATTTTATTTATTTCCTTTGTATATTTACTGTTGCTTCGGATTTATTTTAGCTTGACAAGAATTCATTGCTTCGGAATCGTTCAAGATATGTAAAGCCTTGACTCCAACTTAAGTAGTTTAGGCAAATCCTTTCAATCCTATATATACACTATATATATATAGTACTAATAAACTAATATATTTCTTCAAAAGCAGCATGAAAAGAAATATAGCTCGATGAATTGAATTAGCGTCAAAGTAAATAATTATATTTAAGAACAACTGATGGAATTCTTAATTCTGTTCAACATATCATTACAATTTACATATATTTAAATGTATGTATAACATACTTTTGAATGCAATAATGTTAGCATTTAACGATCTTCCTAGTCCACAGTCGTCATCAACAAGAAATTTAGGATCACCAGCCAGGATATTTGAAATTTTAAGCTCAATCATAGGTAAAGAAATTTCTTTTAGATTTTTAAATCCTCTGGATTGGTTATATTATGACTAAAAAATTTAAAAGAGCTTTCTCATAACTCTATTATAAAATTTCCGACGCACTTTTGAGGTACGATCGACAGCGGCTTAGACCCTTTAGTTTAAACGTACATTTTATATTTCAAATAAACTTCTTATGACAACAGAACTATCGACGTTACAATACGGGAGATTCATAGATTTTCACATCAGTTCTTACATACAAAAATTGTATGAACTACCTCAAGTCATTTTGCTATTACAAGCAATTTCTATTCTGTAGGCAAGTCCTTTAAAGTGTAGAAACAGTTAAAGCAAACTCAGCGCATTACTTGAAATTTTAAAATAACTATAAAATCGGAACCAATTAATAAAATAAATAAAATAAGGATCAAACGCTTGCAGAACACATTTTTAACATCGTAAACGCTCAGTCTTATTCTCTTCTTGCTACGCCAGGGCAATTGACCTTTGTAATACCCTCTAATACTCCTTGAGAGTTTCATTTTGTTTCGTTGTTTGTTACATTTACCTATAAAATACACACACATATATACATACGCACAAGAAGTGAACGACACGTGCTCAATATGTCAAAGTAAAAAATTAAAATTACTCAAGAAATCTGCCACATTTTTGAAAGTTGAGCGAACGCTTATACTAATTTATAAATGTCACTTAAAGCATGCTGAGGAATGTGAAGTATGTGAGCGTGTGAAAGTTTTTCTTCCAAAGTTAGTTGCCCCAAATTATCTAATTTTCTTATCACTTTCTATTTTAATTTCTTTCTCAGCTCCACAACCGTTGCGCATCTTCTGTGAAAAAAGAATGCACTTTAGGTGAATACGCGGATTTAATTATACCGCCAACTGCCATCTGCCCAGCTGTCCTAGATCGTCAGCGTTCGGTAAATCAAACGAATAAAGTGAGTTAATTATGCTTAACAGAAGTTTGTATGTCCCAGATATTAATATTTTAATCTCATTTAAAAGCATTTGGGCCAGATGGCCTTGACTATTCATTTCCCTATTACCCCTTTGATTCAATTGATTTTATGGTTTATTTTTAAGTATTTTTTTATTTTAATTAATGCTTAATTTAATTTACTTTATTTTTTATGTGATTTGATTTGTTTTCATTCAATTTCGTTTTATTTGGTTATTGTATATTTGTTTATTATAAATAATTAAAATTAATTGAAAAAATGTATTTTCTCAAAATTTGATTCCACATTATCTCAAACGAAATATTTTTTTCTCTTACATCCGTCTCTTGTTTGCATACATTTTCTGTCGTACAAATATGCGCATATGAATTGGGAACCAAAAAAAAAAAACAAATAAATTATTACTCATACAACACTTTGCCGCCCATGCCTTCATTCTGCTTTTGACCAATTGTCATACCATGAACCAAAATCGATTTCATTTGCTTTTATAAAAATATTTGCATTGTCTGCATTCCTGTGTATATATGTAAATCTATTACTAATGTAAGAAATCGCAAACCAATCACCAGGCAACGCACTTCCAAATAACCCCGCCGAGTGAGAGCAGTTGCCCTCTGTTAGTGTTCGTGAATCCGAAAAGTGGCGGCCGACAGGGCGATCGCATATTACGAAAATTTCAATATATGCTCAATCCGAGGCAGGTGTATGATCTCTCAAAAGGTGGGCCAAAAGAAGGTGAGTGTTAAGCCTTATTTTAAGCAATTATCCCTTAACGCCAAGCCAGCAATGGGATGCAATTTAATTTAATCTTGTTGTTTGTTACTCTTTTGTTTTTCTTTTTCTAGGCTTAACACTATTTAAAGATATGCCAAATTTTAAGGTGATTTGCTGCGGGGGTGATGGCACTGTTGGCTGGGTGCTTGAAGCGATGGGTAAGTCAATGGGACATTTAAGTGCCGTCAGTACTTTGTCACTCATTCCACGTCCCAAGTCAGTTGATCGCTCGGATCAGAGCAATCCCTAAATTCTATATATTTTACACTCAATATTCATCATTTTAATTAAGTTACTTAATCGCCATCTGTTAACCTTAAGCGCGATAGTAATAACCTTTCCTTTCACTGGTTTCTTTTTTCTCCTCCACCATCAATTGTGTAGATTCCATTGAGCTCGCCTCACAACCAGCCATAGGCGTCATACCGTTGGGTACTGGCAACGATTTGGCTCGCTGTTTGCGTTGGGGTGGCGGCTATGAAGGTGAAAATATACCAAAGTTAATGGACAAAATTAAGCGTTCATCGATTGTAATGTTGGATCGTTGGAGCATAGAAGTGACGAATGCAACGCCTGTAGCGGAAATTCTGCGGCCAAAGGTAAGTTGGTTGGCGGACATATATACAAACCCAAAGTGATGAAATAAATTGCTGTGAAAATCGAAAAGAGAGCTCTAAATTTCACCAAAAATAATTAAAAAAGAGTTGAGAGCATCAATTCGAGCATGAACGTCGCTCACACGTGAGGACTGATTTCAACTTTTGTAACTGTTTTCATTTCTTTTTATCGAATTTTACAACATATTTCCATGTAACACTGACATTCTAATTGAAATCAACATTGACTGAAAGAGTTTTTCGGTTGAATCCGCACCTTCACTGCAGTATCCCTCGTCTTAGCTGAATTGATTACTTGGCACTTGTCAAAATCCAATTAGTGCGAAAGCCATTTGATCGCTGCACAACCAACAATCGCACACGTCAGCTGCAAGCTCTATTTCTGCTTTAAATCGCAAACTTTATCTCTATCTTCATGCCGCTCTCTATTTCTTTCACAGACGCCTTTCCAATAGTTGTGCACACCGTCGCAGGTTCATGGATTTAAGTGCTATTACAAATATTGTTCTGCTATTAACCCTTCTCTCTGCATCTCTGTGAGTACCATCCTCCTCTCAGCCCAGCCAAACACTTTGCAGAGCCAAGGGGGTCAACGGAAAATTTGTAAAAGTTAAAAAAATGTAAATTCCATTTCACTGTTCGAATGTCGTTCGGCCTCTGAAGTTTGCTCACGTTTTTTACGTTTTTGGTTTTGAGTACAAAAAGTTAACTGCCGGCAATTTTAAATCAGTTTCCTCACGTAAATTATATATGTACGTAGAACTCACTGTTAACAGAAGTCGAATATTCTTACAAAATAGAACTAAATGTTCCTGTATCCCTAAGCAATTGCGCCGGAATAAGATTTTTGATATTTCTACAAATTCTATAAATTTCCTTCGGTTTCCTTCTTTGTACATTTTTTCAGTTTGCCGCGAATCGAGCAAATAAAATAAAATAATATAATCCGCCTATCAAAACAGCTTGAGAAGAACCTTTCAGACAAATACGTTTCTCCAAGTGGTCTTAGCCACTGCATCGGTCAGTGGCCGTTCAGTGGCTGTTGGGGTAATATTTAGGAATTTATATGCTTGAGAGCTGAGAACAGGCCCCTGGACACTTATGGATTTAAATAGTGGTTTTTATAGGGCCCGCGTCTTTCCTGAGTGAATATAATTCAGGCATTTACCATTTGGGTGTGTTTGTTTTGGTAATTATCGAATGAGCTTAAGAGATTCCCTCATTTCCCACAGTTAAAATGTATCCGATGGAGTTTCTTCTGTCAAGTGATTCGGCAGCAAAGTCGAACTTCAGAACTTTCGAAACCAAATTCAAAAATTTCTTCACCATTTCATGTCAGCACATTTCTTTCGTTTCATTCACAAGACGGAAACTTGCTCTATTTAGCTTAATTCCAACCTCGTTTACATAATCTCCCATTTACTATCCACATAGGTCACGCTCCAATCTAATATGCAGAAAGTGATTGAGCTGTCACAAAGTGTTGTGGTTGAAAAGGCACTTTTCGAAAAATTCGAGGAGATACACCGCAGCACTAGCGTCTGTACGAATATGTGTAGCAGCAAACATGAGCACATGACCACAACGGCATCGACGTCATCGATGAGTTCATCGATTACCACAGCGACTGAGTATGCCACAGATGCCGAGAGAAATCGCGGAGGGGTGCGCTACGGTGGTGGTGTAAGTGCAGGCGCCGACGAAGTGGGAGGTGTGTGTTCGGGCCGTGCAACCAAAAGCATATCAATGTCGACATTCGAGACAAAACGCATACAGCTCACAACACTTAGCAATAGTAGTAGCAGTTGCAGTAGCACTAGTACTATTATTAGGCAACAAAAGCAGAACCAACAGCAAAGCGAGAAGGTGCGAGAGCAGCAAGAACGGAAAAGAGAGCGAACGCAATCCGAAGACTTACAATCACCTGGTTCACCGCAAAAGGCGGATGTAGCTGTAGAAGATGAAAGCGATGCAAGTGATGAGGCCAAAGCCAAGAACAATAATAACAATAATAGTGGGAATGAAATGAATGAAAGTGCTTTGAATCTCATTGAACGCGACTTAGCACACGCCACCAAGTTCACAAAAGATATGCCAAAAAAGACCGCAGTCGAGCTGGAAGTAGAGATGCAAGAGTCAGCTGCAGATGCTGGTGCAAGTGCAGACCAAGAATTACACATACCGCAAAACGACAAAAGCATATCAACACCAGGCAGAGAGAGAAGCACGATATTTAGTAAGTCGTGCACTGAAATCACCAGCCCCACCACAACTGCCGCCGCCATCAGCGACTACGTTGAATCGTTGGTTGCTACGAGGGCTGACAACTCAGCCGCACTAGCCACGCCATTATCACCCGCAACTTCGTTACCGTCCCTTATGGCATCTCCCACAACGTCGTCGACAGTGCCAGCGGCAGAAGCAGCAATAACAGCTGGTGAATTTGATGAAGAGCCCACAACACCGCTAGCTGTTATCGCTACGCTGTCAGCATATTCTGGCGGTACGGCGCCCCTAGGTCAGCAAGGTGTCATTTGTTTGCCAAAACAGATCAAAGTGCAGCCGGAAAAGGATTGTACGGTACCCTACAACATCATTAACAACTACTTCTCGGTTGGTGTGGTAAGTATGCCGCTAAGCCTATAAGTGAGGCTTAGAAAAATATACATTTATTAAAATCAAATTAAAAAGTTTGCTATTGAATAGAATGAGAGGATCTTTCACCTAAATTCAGTAATATTTTAGACATGACTATCTAGCTTTATGGACCCCACTGAATAGCTTGACTCGTTTCTTAAAGGAATACGGCTTTTCGCCGTACACGATTCTACTACGAAATATTAATTAGTCAAAGGAACTTGCTTAAGAGGAACGAGCAATCAGTTTCCTGATAATGAGCCTCACAATTGGGAGAGGCTTCATAAGAACCTAATTTTAGTTTTTTTGAAGTGCTTTGCCCATACGCTTACATTCATACAGATTCATAAAAAATTTATATAAATTGTAGTATTGGACTATGAAATTTTTTTAACGGTTTCTTCAAAAAAAATAAATGCCCTTAATTCCTTGCTAATGAAATTTTTCCCACATTGAGTGAGAAAAAATACTCAGCAAACTATGTTACATATTTATAACCACCACAAATGAAATACATTATTTTACACATATACAAATATAACGGCATATCCACATTAACAGTGGCAAATTTAAATTATACTTACTTACTGCATAACATGATTTGTATATAAGTATATATTTATATATACGTTTATGTATATGTAAAAGTCCGCCCGGTGGATATTATTGCAAGATAAACAGTAACTGCTTGTCCTTTTCCCATGATTTATATTCGTTGACACTTTGCTTTGAAACCTAACAACAGCCGACAATAACACCAGCAACAATGCAGCACTGTGTATGACTAAAGGCCGACCGTGTTTATTTCCCCACAATTTACACCAAAGCCACTAATCCTGACAGTTTTTAGTGCTACTCCATTGCCGCCTTGGCTCGGGTTTCTCACATAATTTTTATTATTATCTGATTTTCCAGTTTTGTTTTGCCAGAGTTTATCCTTAATATGTTGGTGTTACTTTTGCTCTTCACTAAGCGGATTTATTTGTTTCTGGCGCTGAACAGTTATCCTTTTCGCTTGAAATACTTGCAGATAGAAAATGGCAAAGTATCTGATACGTGCGTCGTTGTGGCGTTGACTGAAGAATTTTATTAAAATTACGACAGTTTACGTGGTGGAACTTGTACTTGAAGAATATAGGCTTTTGGGAGGAGATTTCATTGTTCTTTGATATGAATCTTGAATAGAAATGTAAAATCTCATTTCTTCGTACAATCTTTGATCGCAACAACCATAACGCGCAACACTTCATAACACCAAAGCTCAAACGGTTCAGTTACCTTCCCATCACAGACGACGACACGTGTAGTTTTCCCAGCGCAAACATGTCGCGACGGATTATTCTAAATACTTTAATTTGTTATCTGGAGCTCTTACAAAGAGCTGGGGAATACTTGGCCGTTGAACGCTGTATTTAAAGTAATATCCTAGGACGATGGTTAAATTTCACATATCTTCTGTCGTTAGGGAGATGGAAATCAAAGTACATAAAATATATAAAAATATGAGTTGCTTGCAAAGATCGTAGAAATATGAATAACAAAGATGATAACGATGACATAACAGTGGACAAGGAAGGAAAATGAATCTGGAGGCTTGCTTTGAGAGTGATTTCTAAGCCACCTTTATTAAATACATACATCAAGAACTGCTCATTGTAAGAGCCGCATATGGCAGCGTAATAAATTTCGCAGCATGCTTTTAAGTTCTTTTAATATTCATGTCGCGGTTACTCACCCTGGTTCCGCACATTATGCGCTGCTGCGACCAAAATATTATTGGAATATATATATAATTGGCGCTTTGTAAGCACTGAAGCGATTTTTCGGCCGAGCTCCTCCTCCAATTTGCTTTACGTCAGAAACACACTCGCGGGGTGGATATTCCCTGCCGAGGGGCGACCGCAATTAGAAAATTTAACGCAATTTTTTATTTAAATTAATATTCCATAACTTTTTTGCATGTTGCTGGTACCGGGATATGAACCCGGGCCTTCCGAATGTCAGTACGCAGAGCTAACCACTCGGCTACCGCGGCCGCCGACATTATATTGGTAGCTATGCCGAAAATTCCCTCACATTCACTATCGTTGTTGTTTTTACTATTTTAGAATGATATTAGGTTAGTATACAACAATGAGGTGAGCATTCGTGTACATCTAACAGCCAAACTCGAAGTGTGTTTTATTTATTTAGTAAATTCGGGGAAGTAAAATTATCTGCTTTCCTTTCTTCATCTTTTTGCTTGCTACTTTTTATTTTCTTTTGAGCCCTCGCCTTTGTGGTTCTGAGCATCTCATTGAACGCCATTTCAGTCTTTTTGGTTTAAGAAATGTTTAAGAAATGTTTCTAAGGCCACCCTAGTGCTCACACTCGTATATTTATAGCACGAGACAGCAGCTTCTTTGACTTCTTGACTACTCGAACTGACCATAAAAGAGAGGTGATGTCAGACAATTGAACCTTTTTCTTTTTGCATTGGACATTGCGGGAGTATAACTTTCAGTGTTGCCATCGGAAAGTTGTTATGTCATAAAAGGGCAAGTTCTCAAACAGAATTTCAGTTCGCGGTGACATTAAATAACATTTGAGTTAAGAAATAGAAATAAATTTATCTTAGCACGGGCAAGACATGGCGACACGTACATAGATACATACACACACACTGTTATATCCTTAAAAGCTTTTCTAACATTATTTAATTTCACTTCTCATCTGCCCATGTCAGCTACTGCTGACATTTTAGCATTAAGTTTAATTTTAATTCCGCAATAATCCCCACACTAACGCACATACGTACTTGCAGGAGACTCTTGTACGTATGCCCATGTACGAGTATGTACATAGATATGTGCGTGTTAGTACGTCAGCTACTGGGAGTAAACTCAAATAAAATAGCTATTAAAGTAAGCGTTGTGAGCGAGAACAGAGGCGGCGCCCCAAAACGCGCATTTTCTGCATAAATTCACATACTCCCCGCTCCCAGGGCCCTTTGACACACACACAAACACACACCACATACTTAAAGTACGTATGCACACAATCATGCAGAGGCATTTGTTTTTATCAATCATACATTCACACATGCATACACACATGGACACTTATACGTGTTGAACGCGAGAAAATACACATTAGCTATGAAATGGCGTGGCATACTTTTAGGCACATAGCCACACACATACGCACAAACACCTTTGAGCGCCCAAAATGACAACGCTGCTCCATTCTGCATTAAATCCCTAGATTACAATCAACACATTTCGCGGCAAATAGGAATTTATGTGGACAAATGTGCACTGACAGTAAATGGCCAACGAATCACAGATTCACACACGTGCCCACATGAGTATATACACGTATGTACGTAAGTATACATTTCTGCCTGAGCAATCACATTTGAGCTGGTGTATGCATACAAATGCGTCTCAATCTATAAATGAGCGTCTGTAAGTTTGGGTGTGTGTTCGTGCTTTCTGCTTTCTGCCATTCCAGCAGTTGGTAGCAGTAGCAGAACGTAAGTATCTTTTTGTCTGTATTTACGTTAATGCGTGCTCTTCCACGCCTTTACAGCTCATCACCAAGAACGGATAAAGAACAAAAAAGGAGTTATAAATGATCGAAGAATTAATTCAAGGAATTGGTCGGAATTAACTTAAATAGAAAATTCCAGTCGCTAACAAATCGCCATGCTGCGCATTGGTAGTCACGCGTTACGCCCTTCGGTCGCGAATAAAGGTCGGGTCTAAGTCCCTTACACCGGAAATATTACATCCTCGTCAAATTCTATGTGTCTGCGGAATTAAGTGATCGGGATGTGGTAAACATATCCCTCAGAGTACGTCCATTAGCAAAGCCAATATTTTACCGCATTCGCTTTAAATGTCAATCCCTTTGGACAATACACCAGTAAACTGCGCAACAAAGCCGCTTTTGGTTCTCATCATTTTTATTTCACATTCCCAATCTTTCGCATTCGCCTCTACCCATACATACCTATTTATGCAAATGCTTTCCACATAAAATCGAACCCGTTATGACCGCATCTGTTTCACGTGAAAATCCCATTGACTGACAATAAAGTACACAGCTTCCGACGAGCAACCACATCCACCAACCACACAGGCTGAGCAGAAAATTTTTCATTGCGGTCGAATGCCAATCACAGCAACATTGATTTAGTTTTACTGTCGCAATAAATTTTTAGCGCTACTAGAGCTACCTACATGCATACATACACATCAATGAATGCGTAACATGGTCACTACATCAGCTTGTCTGTTTGAATGCTCGGAAAAATCAAACCAAAAGCTGGCAAGGCGAGTACAGGAGCGATGGCTTCATTAGTACTCCATAAAATGCAGACATGATTTTATTTTCATTTTTTTGCACACACACAACTATTAAACAACGTACTCAGTATGCCATGAGTGATACATGCTTATGTAAATATGTATGTGTATGACATGGCATGAGGGTATAAGCTTTCCGTGATTTCTCAATTCGATCGCATGCAGAATAAGAGGATATATCGTCATACTCATATCCGCAAAAACTTTAATGCAAATTAAGAAGGCAATTTTCTCCGAGTATCCCTTGAATTGTCATGCGCCACTTAAACCCTCTCCTGTTTGTCTTTCTTCAGAGCTTTTTGTGTGTTTTATAAATTTTTTGATAATCGTTATGTATGCAATTATTATTAAACTTTTACTTCTTATCCTTTATTAATCTCCTTTATTTCTTTTAGCTTATGTATTCTTTACCAGGCTCCATCAATCGGCCCAGCAGCTTTCCCCTTTCAACATACATTTCTTGAGTCTTGAAAAATTGTATTAGTTCTCTCTTTCGTGGAGTTTTTAAGCATTTTTCCTCCAAGCTAAGTTTATATGATCTTCGGGTTTTAAAACTTTATCTCCGTTTTTCGCATTCCCATTCCCATGCCTTCCGTTTTTAACTTTTGGTAAGAATCTGTATAATAATGAAACGTTGATGCACCCGAGTGTCCCGGGCCCGGGTCTAAAGGAAATTTGTTCAATGAAGTATTTAATATCATTGGGATATACCGAAGAGCATGAATTAGAACTGAACCGCAGGTTGACCAGTCGTCTCTTGCTACTAATGCTACTGTATGACTTCTGTCTGTTCTCTTTGTACTGTAGAACAATCTAGAAGGCTTCCCTGGTTGCGCTCGGAGATTCAATGGGCACTTAAACTACACCATATATCAAGTTATGAGTAGCCAGAATTAGACGCGAAGTATTTTTTTCTGATGATACCACGTAGCGAATTATTTCAACCAACTATGGGCTACAATAGTAACCTTGTTGAGGAACTCCAAATAAAAGGATCGTGCTGCGCTCCTGGGTACAAAATCTTAAGACAAGGATCACATATCTCTGTACAAATATAATGAACTTTGTTACTACAACAGTCATGAAAAAAAAATTTGCCTCACCATATGCACCCATGGTGCATGTATCCATGGTGGTTGTTATAGGCTTCTTCATGATGTGCAATCTATAGCCCCAACTATGCTTCCAATAAGTGGAGACGGTGATGAGGCAAAAATCCAAAGCATCTAGATGCAAAACCACAAATTGGAGAAGGAGCTTGGCCAAAAATCGCTTTAGCATTTACAAAGCGCCAATTATATAATCGAAGCAAACTTCTAGCCAATGATGAAGGGTACGACACCTTTTCATCTTGGGATAAATCGTATGAAAAATACTCAAAACCCTAGTTAGCTATTTGTCGAGTAGTTTACGAGAACAGCGATAGTGAATATCGTTAAAATTATCGATAAGTCGTATAAATTAAATAACAAGTTCACTTACATTTCCTCATTGTGGTCGTCCCTCGGCAGGGAATGTCAAGCCATCTGAAAATATTCCTAAGATGCAATAAAACGGTCCAGTTGATAAATCGATTTGTTGGAAAAACATCTAGACGAACATTGCTTCAGCGGTGTGCCAATTATATGAGTACGTCAATTTGGTAATTTAAAATCCTACTTGTTATAATCCATTCAAGCATAGAGATCGACATTTAAAAGATTAAAAACACTCTTCGTTGTGTTGCGTGAATTTCTTCGAGAGTGCAATGCATTCATTTTTTCATCATTTAGTTACATATTACATACATACAATATGTAAATCAAAAGTTGTGAAAGTAGGAATTATTTCTATTATTTCCTTCCTCTACCTCTTCTTACTTCGGCTACTGCATCGAATAATTTCAATGCTTTCTGTTGTTTAACGCATTCAGTCGAATTAGCTTTGCAGGGATTCGATATTTGGGCATAGCGGCAAAGGGGTTGCTATTTTCACGATTTTTACATGATTCTTTTCACGATTACGATTCCTCGATAGTGAATTTCTGGTGGACTTCGGATTTGTCAGGTCTAAAGCCACGCTGGTAAGGTCCAATCTGTTTGTTGACGGCAGGCTTTAATCTTTTACACAATACGCAAGATGGACCATATACGCCACATTGAGGAGAATAATCCCACGGTAATTGGCGCAGATGGTAGGATACCTCCTACCTCTTACCAACATAGACTTTATCGTTACTTGTGTACTTCCACTCTGACTAATCTGCACTGCGTTTTATGATGCGTAAGGTTTTAGCAAGGGTAGAGAGTTTCTAGATTTACTATCTTGCAGGTTACGCTTTAGGCCGATTTAAGAGTGCCACTGTTATTCATTACACTAAAGAAAATCTCATTCAATTAATGAACTTTCGATTCCCTTCCCCCAGGATGCTGCAATATGTGTCAAGTTTCACTTGGAACGCGAAAAGAATCCGCACAAATTCAACAGTAGGATGAAAAACAAACTTTGGTACTTTGAATATGCCACTTCAGAAACATTTGCTGCCTCCTGCAAGAATCTACATGAGAACATCGAAATTGTGGTAAGTGACTGATGAAAATAAGATTTCCCCTGTAAAGTGAAAGCAGAAAAATTAAAAGTAAAATGCGAATTGTCAACTGTAACTTGTAAATGCAGACTCACTATTTATAACTGCTTACATACACACAATCAAAGCAAGTGGTAAGCCCCCGAAAAGTGGTTGCGAAGAGCTTTCAGCTTACAGCGAAACTTCAACAGCAACACCTTGATATTCCAAAATGGCAACACAACCTGACGAGATTCCGATACTGCAATATTTCAAAAGCAGGTACAGCCTTTGTACGAGTACATAAAAAAAAATTCAAGAGCTTGCTGCATGTTGCTTGAGTGGCACTCATCCGCTCACTCAGAACCTATTTAGATACATACACACATACATATCCGTATATATAAATTGACGAAACTCTCAGCCGTCATTTCATGCTGTCGCATATTTTGCCCGCTGATTAATTTTTGTGTGGGTGCGTTTGAGCGCAAAAACTATGAAAAATTTGCCATTATCGTTCGGCACGTTAATAGCTGCCGCAGGATAACGGAAAGACGAATTACGCCGGAAAGCCGCTGAAAAATCAAAACCCGCAACCTCTATTTTTCCCCCACTCCCGATTTTCCCCACAAAGCTCAGCACAAAATATGAATATCTGTTTTTCTTCTGCACAGCATTTGCGCGATTGAGCACACTGAATATCTGCTCAAGCGTAAATTATTTATTCACGCTGTGTGGCGATTCGGTTGGCAGTGGATCGAGCTTATCAGCGAGCTTCACTCTTTGCGGCTCATTAGCGTCAATAGAACGCCACAAATTTGAGTTTCAGTTAAATACGTGGTTACGTCAATATGTTTTCGTTTTTAAATCGGAATAATCTTATGAAGAAATTACGTGGGGGGAGGCTGCATTAAGTGGCTCTTTCTCCTGTTCTAGCGCGCGTACGGCTGAACATATGCGGGCAATAAAGTTGAGAACCAAAACATGCAGCAAATAAATCAAAAAGTGCAACATAAAAAGATGCTCACTTAGGAGAGTTCTTTCCACTATATGTGCATAATATAGGGTAAGTTCGGGTATTAAGCGCACCATTTTCTGCTACCTTATTATTTCCTACAGATAAGCTTCTAAAAAGTAATTGAATGCACCTCACCAATTAGAATTAGAAGCACAACCGAAAGAATGATAGAGTATCCTTCTTGGGATGGTAGCTACAGACGATCTTAATCTACGTAAAAGAAAAGCAGAGTCCCTATCCCACCTTTAGAAGTGGTCTTTGCTGCGGATCAAATGAAAGGCAATCATATGAAAAAAGTATAAAGAGTTAACATAAATGTTCCGTAGACCGAAGTGTAACGGCCTTTGAAAAGAAATAACTGTACTTAATGTGCATTTGTATTTTAAAACGACCATTTAGCTGTTTGCCGAACGACAATAAAAGACAATAGCCACAGGCATACATATATCTCTTCCCATCTGTGTGAAATGCGAAGAAGGACACACTTTGCGTAATGATGTGTTGGTGGGATTTTGTTTTTGTATAAAATTTCCTAAAGTAGTCTTACCACATATACTTTTCGCCCAAATTTACGCATTCATGCTTACAGACATATTTATACCATATAACATATGTGTATTTACATACATGTATGTCTGTACTTTGAAAGCTACGCCACGAACAATTTCATTGAGAATTTGTTTACACATACAATCCAGATCAAAACAAATATGCCGTAAAGTGAGACCACACATGGTAATATTATGAAGCGTCCTTTCAGTCAGGTGGCTAACAAAATAAGCCAAATCTGAAAACAAAACGCTATAAAAAATCTGAATAAATAAAACTTTTATTCGTAAATAATCGTAGATGCTTAAAATTTGTACTGTTACATACACGTATAACTAGCCAACATTTAAAAATGTAGTAAACACATTTTCTTTAATTGATTTACAGTGTGATGGTGTTTCCTTAAATTTAGCTAATGGTCCACATCTACAGGGTGTCGCCCTACTGAACATTCCTTATACTCATGGCGGCTCGAATTTGTGGGGAGAACATCTGTCACAGAAACGCATGCGTAAAAGCGCTGGCCCCTTCCGGAAGGGTAAAAAATTGAAATCTTCAGATAAAGAGCTTTCTGCTACAAGTTTCACATCTGTGGATCTATCAGTTGCAACTCAGGGTATGTAAAGTGTGTGATTATACCCCATATTATGTGAAAGTTATCTTTCTTTAACAATTATTTTTTATACTTTTCAGATTTCGGAGATCGTCTCATTGAAGTAATAGGTTTGGAAAATTGCCTACATATGGGTCAGGTGCGTACCGGTCTTCGTGCATCAGGGCGACGCTTGGCGCAATGCAGTGAAGTAATTATTAAGACGAAGAAAACATTTCCAATGCAAATCGACGGGGAGCCGTGGATGCAAGTACCCTGCACGGTATGATTTGCAGCGCAAAGAAAATGCTTAAATGCTTAAAGGGCTTAATATAATAAAGTAATTGATAACTATTTCTTTTCACACTCCTTAGATAAAAGTCACTCACAAAAATCAAGTTCCTATGCTAATGGCTCCACGTTCCGAAAAGGGAAGAGGCTTCTTTAATTTACTCTGCAGCTGATTTCGGCGTAGTGTATCTGCTAGTAGTTCCTTTGCGCCGTCACTAGTGGAACGACACCAACAACACAAAGAAACCACCGTCCAACAAATAGAATAGCTTTAATTTTAGCGCATTACAACAAAAAGTTAAGAATGAGGAAACAGAAACTGAAAACACGAAACTTGTTATACGGTCCAGAAAAATAACAAAAAAAAAACCGTAAATGTGAAAAGCTTCAAATTTGAGCGCATTCACAATATGAGCTTTAATTTATTTCATTCAGAAACATTTATTTTTACAAGCAGATTGTAAGGTTTAACAAAAAGATTTGAAATTTATTAGCAGCAGCTTTTATAGAAATACAATACATACATACATATGTATAATAGTTAATACAAAACTTTAGTAGAAATATTAAATGCGTATGTGGAACTTATTACAATAAAAACCAAATAGAAGAATAACGATGGCTAAGAAATGCCAAAGCATCAAATATGAAGTAATAAAGACTTAAATTATGCTTACATTTTATAGTTGCCCAAGTGCTTCAAATGGCTGAACAGAAATACGTATGCATACGTGTATATGCATGTATATGTTCTAGCTAATTTAAAGCTTTCAGCGTGCTTTTCAATTATCGTAAAACACACAGTATTGGCGTAAGTAGCGAATTGTTCCTTTGTTTGGCAAATTTAGAAAATAAATATTTAAATACGCTATCAGCAAATTTTTAAAACATATGTACATATGTATGAATCTGCGTGCATCTTCCCGTAAGTTCATCTATTGTAAATTTTTATTTAATGTGGGCTGAATATACGGGTAAATATGTGTAGTCCAAATAGTGATAAAAAAATTTTAAGAAGGGTCTAATTCTAGTCAAAAAAACTCATTTTCATTTAAGTAAGAGTAACACATACATCCTTACATACAAAAATTGTTAGTCTTTAATTTGATCTATCTAAATTACATATGTATTTATATGTAAGATGCGATTTTCATTAAAATTATTTCTGGTTTTCGGCACAATTTGCTTAATTATTATATACATATATGTATATATATATACCTATTCTAAAAGTACTTAAAACATCTGATATTAATTGTATATAGACGGTCCAGTGACCAAGTCGCAAATTATAACTATTTGATGAAAAATATATATCAGAAACGGAATGGTGCAGCTTTAACAGAATTTTTAGAGAAACAAATTACACATATATGTACTATACAACAACTGTTACAACGGTAGAAACTATTTACATATTACTTAATGTATGGATCTAAATTTACATAGTCTTACCTAAAAAATAAGAATTAAAGAATTGATAAAAGAATAATGCAACTACGCGGCAAGGTAAATATAGATATACATACATATATATATGTACATATTTACACAAGAGAATTAGAAAAGAGATGAAAAATATTTATTTATTTTGTTGTATTTTTTAATTATTTAATTTTGTTAATTATATTTGTTTCATTTTATTTGTTTATTTGTTCTATTTTTATTTATTTATTTATTTTTTTAATTTATTTTATATTATACTGTTTTATTTATTTATATTTTATTACATTAAAATATATAATATAATATTATATATAAATGCTGAAGCGATTTTATTATATTTTATTTTGTTTTCATTTTTTATCTTATTTTCATTTATGTCGTTTTATTCATTAAAGTTCACTGTTAATTTAATTAAATATTTTATCTTATCTAAGTTTAACAAGAACAATTTAAAGTGCAGAAATCTTCTTTTTTTAAAGTTAATTACCCCTTTTGAATTAAATATTATTGGTTTCGATTATAATTCCGTCCATTCTTCAGTGCAATGACAAAGCTATTTTTTCAAATTTACAACAAAAGTGGTTTCGAAAGTTTCTTTGATTAATATATGTAGCTAACATTTTTGGGAATAAATCGAAAATACATATTTCCAGTTCATATTGTTAAATAGTCCCGCATACATATGTACACATACTCGTATATACAAATATTTTAGGTGCATACATATTTATATTCATGTAAATACATACATATATCCTAGTGGTAGGGTAGAGTAGTCTAGGCATATTGCATTTAGTTTTTTGCAATTATTTAAAATGTAACAAAAAGCATTTTCAAATACTTATTTCATATGCAATCGGACGCCGCTTAGCGCATACTTATTTATGTATGTACAATGTATTGTACATATCTATGATCATGAGCATACATAGATATATGAGTATGTATTAGGTTGAGTGTGTAGGATTGCTATGAAATAAAACACCACAGTAGGAGTTAACATTAATTGTAATAGGAAAAAGTAAAGAAATTAAGCAGAATTAATGAACATGTTTTTTGAGATTAATAGAGGAAGTATATACAGCTAGTTCCATATTTAGATAATATGTAGTGAATTTAAAACAACATGTAGAAATCGTTTAGCAAAAGTAAAATATAGCGATAGTGGACATTTACAATAAGTAAACAATAAACACATACAATACACATAATTACGCTTTCTTTTGATTTACACCTCATTATGTTGATTTAAATTTTGAACTTAATTTTAGAAGTACCGATTATTAATATTGCCATGTTTTGTTTGCCTATCGATTTCATATACATACATACACGTATGTGTTTAACTCATAAAAAACTGTAAATAAAAATAATCATTAAATAAGGAAATTACCCTGGCTAATTCTATAGAAAATAATTCGAATTCAATATTTTTACGAATACGAGTAGAGATCTGAAGATTCGTGGACTGGAAAAATTATAATTAAATAAAAACAAGGAATTTACTTTCTATGAAGGCAAAAGATATTTCTTTTCGCAAATAGACAAAAACAAGACGAAGGCGTGACCGCACATACGTATCATCTTGCATTACCTTTTGTCACGCCTAAAATAATGTTTTTGTTTAAGCGGCGGCACCTTTGCATCTCTACATATTTGCATAAATACTTTTTAACTGTAAATACACTGCTAGAATATTGAAAATATCCGTAAACAACTTGAGGAAAGCTTTAGAAATGAATATTTCAGTAAATTTGAACATAGGAATAGTTAAATTGAAATTGACATGCATTTGCATATATGTATGTATGTATGTGCATACATGCATATGTAGAAAAATAAGCTCTGACTTTAGTAGTGAAAATTAATTGTAGCTTTTACGTGATTGTTGAAATTGAATAGAATGTTTTAGTTCCCCTCTTACATTTGAGTCGATTGGTGGCAAAACTAGTTTTGTCCATGCCTTGTGCGTACATCCACAGCCATAGTTTTGATTATTATTTATTCACTCAATTGTTTATAACAAAATTACACATGCGTTTATTTCAAAGTATCATAATTGCATAATTGACAATTAGGGAAATACATTCATATAAATTCCATACATATTAATAATTATTGATACAAATAACAATAAATGTACAACTTACTATTTAAATATACATTGAATAGTCAAACGCCGTTTGCAAATGTTGAAGGAAACTTTGTGCACTCTAAAATATAATTGTTCATCATGAAATTAAAATAATTCTTGTAATAAAATAGCCGAATTGAAAAATGTTTATCTGCTATAGTATTTTGTTATTGCAAAGCTTTAAAGCATTTAAGATTGTTAATATTAACAGCAGTTTATAATTATAATGCGAGTATAATAATAACGTTAAACATAAACGCCAAATATTGTTTGCTTTTGCCGTAGTGTTGTAGTTACATGATTTGCTGGTATTGTTTAAGTGTTAAATTGTTTGTATGTTAATTTTAATGTTATAAAAATAATAGTAAATAAAAAAGTATATGCTGTACTATATATCAATAAATTTTGTTATATATTATTCATCCTTTAAATTTTTTAGATTACATAAAAAGCCCAGTAAATAAATGTTATTATCTTAATAGTTGTGGAAAATATCCGTTACTCCGCATACTCCATGCCGTATTCATTTCTTAGAGTTAGTTGTACATAAGGTCCCATCAAACTGATAAATGTGAGTATACGATTTCGACTTCTTCCAGTGTTCGCTAGCAACTCAGCCGTACGACACGGATGTAAAGCATAATAAGGTTTTCGTAAAACAGGATGTTCTAGTTGTGTCATAATATTTAGCATATCATCATTGGTTCGCTGGTGGGGCGAGAGCGTAGTGCTTGCATTGCCACCGTAGCCACGAAAGATGCGCCACGCATCTTCAATGCTTACCAAACTACCATCTAATTTTAAAAAGTTTTTCAAATATAACAATAGATAAATTTTGAAAGTCATTCATTTTACTTATTACTCACCACTGCGATATAATCGAAAATATAATACCGGTACTTGATATGGCAAGCTGTAGATTACATGATATTCTGTTTTCAATAAATCATTGTTTGGCCCTGACGCTGCAGTTATATCTTCTGTACAATATTTGCTTTCTTCAAAAGGATCACTAGTAGGTTTTAGGTCCACAGTGCTTAAAATTTTTTGTTCGTACACAAGGTATGTATTGCATGCGTCGTCACCCTAAAATAATCATCTATTTTCTAAATATGAAATACTTAAATTTGATAATTGAATACCTTCTTACATAAGGTCCAAGAGTCACCTAGACGATCAGAAATATTTTTGAACTCTTCAGCTTCTTGCAAAAACTCTTCCCAGCTCATATTAACGGTATTAGCCATTTATAACCTTTAGTATACGCTTTTAAAAAAACTCTTTTCTTGAAGGTAATCGCAAATCGAGACTAAAATGAAAAATCAAATAACATACAACATGGACATGCATACAACATATGTATATATATATATGTATCTATATATATATATATATATATATTATATATATATGTATATATTATATATATATATATATACATATATGTATGGATATAATCAATCATAATAAACGAATGACAACATATCGAGCTCTGACCACCAAAAGGACATACACTACAAAAAGTAAAATTTCCATAAATGTCTTTTTGTGGAGTTACTTTTGAATTTTGGCGAAAAATAAAAATTTAACATTATGTCGCTTACGGCCCTTGGGCTGTCACGGCTCTAGTTGGCTTATATCCCTTTTTAAGCTTTTGGCTCTTTAGTCGCCTTGTACGACAAGCGAGCCAGACTGTGAGCATATTCTTATGCGCCATACGCACATATCCCTGCTCACAGGGATTCAGACCAGCCAAATTCCTACCGAATCGCTAAATAAATGATAGACAGAATTGTTTTTCAATTAATACTTTCAACATCTTTTTTATTTACTTTCTAGACGATATGTTTTAAGCGGCTATATATATAAGCATTACAAGCATTTGACTAAGCAAAAAAAGCACAAGAGGTAAAAAAATTTTAACGTTCATTCATTAAATAATGCTTTTATTGCAGGGCATGCTACTAAAGAGAGCTCAAACAAAAGTATATAAATGAATTATAGTAGCAGACCCGGTACTTTGATAGTACATAGTCCATTGACTTATGCAAATACTAGCTTTAATCTTATCGTATGCTCATTTAACTTTAGCTCTTTTATTTTTTATTAAGCATACATGTGCACTGTAAATATAAACATTTTTCTAAGAAATATGAAGTCATCTTCACTCTGGCACTTCTTCGTCCTGAACATTTTCCGTTCTACGTATCTGAACCACTGTTACCATTGCAGCTTTATCGTCAAATTTACACGTGACAGTTACCTCACTTAGTTGGAAAGTGAAGATTTGAGAACCATATTTTGTTCTTAGATACACTGAGCGTGGATCCGCTTCTAATACGTCAGTTATGCACTGCCGGCTCACTTGAAGCTCTTGTAATTGTGCCTCAGCACGTTCGTTGAAGCAAACTTTTAAACGATGGCTGCCCGCCACCCAGTTGGGTACCTTTACAGCACACGAAGGCGGCGAAGAGCGATTGACAATATTAGGAGGCGTTGAGACTTTAATCCCATCACCGACTGCATCATCGCTACTGCTATTACTTCCTCCTGTTGCACCGGCAGCAATAAGCTCAAGTTCGGATTCTTCTCCATCTGGTTCTTGACGAGAATCATAGAAATCAAGCGCTTCGAGGGGTCCAACCGATACACGGCCTGTAAGTTTATTTTAATTTCAATTACTATTTTTTTAATATTCATATTTTTTTTTAATAATACCTGAATCCAATGGCGATGATGGAGAATCATAAAATGGAATAAAAGGTTTAATATCTAGCAAAGGTGTACCATCTACCATGTCTGTACCAAAGAATGTTATTGTCGCACCTTCCACCTTTTCAATTTCTACCAAGGACAAACCCACAGGGCAGGGACGATGTGGGGAGCGGGTGGAAAATACACCCACACGTTCACCACCCAATCGCGGCGGTGCGACCTTGGCCTTGGGATGAGCACTATTCTTATGAAAATGGTAAATCAGCCACATATGTGAGTATTCCTCAAGACCTTCAAGCGCATGTTCTGGATTAGTAAAGGTTTCTGAGTTCAACTCCACCATGCCACGTAAACGACCTCCCACGCTCGACTGTCGCGGCACACCACGTTTCTCAGGAAATGCTGTACGTATCACGCCGATACGTTGCCAAAGCACACCCTCGCACCTCGCCTCCGCTTCAAAAGTCTTAAATTAGTGATAACGGTTAGAACTAAACATTATTTAAAATTATTTGTTGAAATCATACTTACATCTATCTGCTGATTTTCTTTAGGTGATACATTGCTGTTCCGCGTATTCTCCTCTGCCGTTTGTCGACGGCAGCCCTCACACCTAAATTCCCGAAGCAATCGAACCACTCCATCAATATCCTTCCTTTGCACATGCTGCAAGTTGCGAACTTGCTGTCTGTTATTAGAAGTAAAGAAAATATCAATAAATTTAAAAATATTAGGCATACTTTTTGTGCTTCCCACCTGAGTTTGTTGATTTCATTGCGTGCGATGGTCAATTGATTTTGCAGGGCCAATACTTCATTTTCCAACATTCTTTTAGATATATTATTAATTAATTTATATTCCACAATAAAACATTTACTAAGAACATTAGTTAAAATCCGAAGCACTAGAGGCCAGATATTAGAGAAAACAGAATTTTTATATTTCTATCTTTTAGAAATTGACAACATAAACAGACAAATTTAATGCACAAAAAATCTTGCCGGCGCCGAGGGTTGCATTGAAAAGTAGGTTTTTTTAGCAGTTTCACTATGGTTGTACTATTTAGTACTGGTCGTTCGCAGGCGTTTAAAATGGATTGTATTTAGATTTTTTCGAGGAAAAGATAGTTCTTTTACCAATTGTGGGTTTGACTTTCTGTATCCTACTAGAAAATTTAAATACCCCAAGTAAATTGATATGAGTGTAAGCTTACATTCCGCCTCGAAAAGTGGGATTTTCTCGACTATATCATAGATAATTATCCACAATTAGTACCATTCCTATCACTGATGATTTCTATGTGATCATTTAAAAAGAAAAAAAACTATAAAAAATAAAGTTAAACCTTTTTTGTCAATAATTTGTCTTCACCGTGAACATTGAACTCAACATACCATATTAAATTTCTTATAAGCACACAATTTCCGCTACATTATCCTTTTGATAATATGAGAGTTAATAAGTAAATCAAAAACATTAAAATTGCGATTTCAGTGAGTTTATATATACTAATTTCAGAAAACTCCATGGAAAAACGGTTTTTATAACTGGTGCCTCTCGAGGAATCGGTAAAGCGATCGCATTAAAAGCTGCAAGAGATGGTGCTAATATAGTAATAGCAGCAAAAACTGCAGACCCACATCCAACGCTTCCTGGTACAATTTATAGTGCAGCAAGAGAAAGTAAATAAATAGAAGTATAAACATATATAAGAAAAGTTTTCCAGTATGTTCATAATCATTTAGTTGAAAATGAAGGAGGCAAAGCCCTAGCTTGTATCGTTGATGTGCGCGATGAGCAACAGGTACGCAAAGCGGTCAAAGAAGCTGTTGAAAAATTCGGTGGCATTGATATACTCGTGAACAATGCTAGTGCAATTTCGTTGACGTCCACACTTGATACCGATATGAAACGTTTCGATTTAATGCACAACATCAACACAAGAGGCACATTCTTGGTGTAAGTAAAATTAATAAATATCTATCAAATACTGAATTGTAAAATATCAATTTTGTAGGACAAAGGAATGCCTACCACACCTACTGAAAAGTAAACATGGACATATTTTGAATATATCACCACCACTCATTATGTCACCCCATTGGTTCAGTCATCATGTTGCCTATACCATGGCTAAATATGGTATGTCAATGTGTGTACTGGGTATGGCTGAGGAATTTAGAGATAAAAGCATAGCGGTAAATGCACTATGGCCACGTACAGCTATATATACATCAGCAATTGAAATGTTGCAAGGTGTAGGCGCTGCTCAATATTCTCGTTCGCCGGAAATAATGGCCGATGCCGCCTATGCCATACTCATTAGAGATCCAAATACCTGTACAGGAAATTTTTTCATTGATGAAGAGGTACTAAGTGAAGAAGGTATAAATGAATTGACAAGATATTCATGTTTTCCCGAAAACGCAGATAAACTGATGTCTGATTTTTTTCTGCCGGATAAATATATATCTAAGTTGTAACATATTTTATTTGGAAAATTGATTTGTGGATATTCTACTTCTACATACGTTAGTTCTTTGGCATAACTGGTGTATGTAAAAAAAATTGTTATATTTTATATCCAGCATTTCATATTGTTGTATATACTTATACTTTTATAATAAAAATTGAAATAGATAAATAATGTATATACAATTTAATAAATAATATAAAACGTACTTCGATAGATAAACACTTATGAGCATATGTAGGTGTGTGTTTCATATTTGCAGCCTTCAAATATAAAGACCCCGTTATCGCAGCCACTTATATATTAATTACTTCATAAACCAGGTATACCTTTCCACGCGTCTATAATTCGAGGCGAGAAATTTGTTTTTTTGAGTTGCGTTGCGTTGGTCCAGTTTCGCTTATGAGGTAAAATTCGGACAGTTCCTATTATTAGTCATCAAAGTCAATGAGTCAAGCAATGCGTCCCAACATCTTAAAACTTATCTCCTACTCATCTTATGCGAGATATGTGGTTTATTTCATTGTATTTCCTACATTTTTAGTATTAAGAGCAAAACTCTTCCAAAATACTTTTATGAAATTTTGAAGTCAAGAAGTGACATTTCCGAAATAAAATACATCATTCCGAAAATTTGAAATGATATGTGTACTGAAATATTGGATACATAATTGAATAGTAATCTAATGTGGCATCATCATACTTAATTAAATGACTGGTTAAATTGACAACTGTGAACTGCTGAAAAGGAAATTGAAGAAGAAGCAGGAATTAACAAATTGCTGGTCATTCGAAAGAATTTTGTTATTCGTCGGTAATTTATCATATTCAATGTTGTGCGACTTATTATTTGTTGTAAATTAATTAAGTGGTGTTCTAATATACGATATATTTGTTGTATCACTTTTTAGTTATTTATTTTACTGGGATCTTAAAAGATGTCGCGTGGTAGTTCTGCCGGTTTTGATAGACATATTACCATTTTTTCTCCTGAAGGACGTCTGTACCAAGTTGGTAAGCTACAATTAATAAAAAAAAAACTAGTGTAAATTTATGCAAGATATTGATTTCGATCTTTTGGGAATTCAAAGAATATGCTTTTAAGTCTATTGATCATGAGGGTCTTACTTCGGTGGCTTTGAAAGGAAAAGATTGCGCTGTTGTGGCTACACAGAAAAAGGTCGCTGAAAAACTGATTGATCCAGGAACGGTTACACATCTGTTCCGTATCACAAAAAATATTGGCTGCGTAATGACCGGACGCATAGGTAATTATATGTAAAATAAAATGTATATTAGAAATAAGCATCTCTTTTTTAGCTGACAGCCGATCTCAAGTGCAAAAGGCGCGATATGAAGCAGCAAACTTTCGTTACAAGTTTGGCTATGATATACCAGTGGATGTTTTATGTCGTCGCATAGCCGATGTTAATCAAGTATATACACAAAATGCGGAAATGCGTCCCCTGGCATGCAGTAAATTTTTAAAAGTAAACAAACTATAGACGCCAATTTAATATTACTTTTGAATTCTAGGTATGGTACTTATCGCCTATGATGATGAGTTGGGACCATCTGTGTATAAAACTGACCCTGCTGGGTACTATTGTGGCCTAAAAGCTGTTGCTGTAGGAGTTAAACAACAAGATGCCAGAAGCTATTTGGAGAAAAAATTCAAGAGTGATTTATCGACAGAAAAAGCTATACAACTGGCAATTACTTGTTTGTCTCAAGTTCTACAGGTCGATTTCAAGCCAAGTGGTATTGAAATTGGTATTGTCACAAAAGATAATCCACAATTTACAGCGTTGGATGAAAAGGAAATTGAGGACCACTTAACAAAGATTGCAGAGAAGGATTAATTTAAGGGAAAAGAATTTTTTCTTTTTAAAATTTAACTTTTTGATTTCATTGGTATTGCAATTTTTGTAAACTGGCAAAAAATAAAAATAAAATTTGCTGTATTAAAAAAGTTAATTAAAATGTTTGGAAAGACAATTTTCGAGCTATGGTCAAAAGAGCATTCGGATTCAACAGCAGCGCTCGCGTCTAGGACTAGTTGGGACGCATTACTATCCGCTAAGGTAAAATTATTATAAAATATAGAACTAGACAAATTACTTAAAAATTAAATCATGTCGTGTTGTACTCATTTAACAATTATCTCAAAACTTTGAAATATTACTCGCAGCTCTAGAGCATACGTCTGCTTTTACATATGGCACAGTCATCAAAATTTCTTTGGGAATATGGAAAAACACAAGAAGATTCCGAGAATATTATGACAAAATATGCTGAATGCTTTATAAGCCTTTAATTTTAGATAGTATTTGGAAGTATGTAAACAATGTTGAACACAATCATTGTTAAAACATCCAGATCCACACCGCAAATGGAAAGATCTCAACCCAAAATCGGAAAGGTAGCCATCATAGTGAATCACAAAGACATCAAAAACATATTGATATTCCAATGAATACTACAGAAAATATTATAAGCAGATTATCAAGCAGATTTTTAAATATTCACTCGTATTTAAGTTTATATATAATATAACATAAAAACAAGTGTTCTAGTGTAAGTAAGTTAGTAGTATTTATTCTGTTTTACAATTAGGGTTATACTGGGCGACAAAAGCTTTAACATCAAATTTTCGCTGGCATCCGTTGTAGTTCATGTACCGCACCTTACCAAAAATTGGTCTGTTGGGATATCCATGATCATGTAAGCCTCCAATTGACCACATGCATCCTAAAATAAACCGTTAAAATTACTAAACCAAGCATATATATAATGTCTAAAGGTAGATACATGCGTGCATACGTATTTTGTGCATTACAAACGAAAGCATTTGTTAACATTCAATAAATAGTTTTATTACTATTCTGTTATAAGTTTAACACCCACCAACATAGCCATTTGGATCTCGAGCGTCAAGACTGTATTTATCATTCAAATGAATAGCGGTTTTTAAGGCCACCTCTGGTGAAGATGACCATTCCAATATTTTTTTTGCCCAATACATTCGCAGAAATCCGTGCATTTTGCCTTCGTGAACCAATTGCATCTGAGCAGCATTCCAAAGATCATCATGTGTACTTGCTCCTTCAAATTCTGTGAATGCATATGTAGGATTGCGTTCATCTGTTCGATGTTCTTCTAGAGTTTTGATGGCCCAAGGATACAATCCCTTAAGGTTATCATAATTCTTGTTGTAGTAACAGAAATTATCTGCCAGTTCACGGTGAACAATTGCCTCATCGCAGAAAGCCTCCACAGAATCTTTGTACTGAGATTGGTAACGCATCACTTCCAAAATGCAGCGCTGTGCAGATATTTGGCCTAAAATAATTATTAATTACTGAATAGCTAATATAGCGAAAGCTAGTAAGCGAATTTACCAAAGTGAAGCCATGGTGAAAGTCCTGACAAAGCATTGACTGTTGGGTCATTGCGTTTTGCACTGTAAATGGCCAAACGTTCCACACAGAAACTTTGAAGTTGGGCGCATGCCATCGTATAGCCTGGTTCTAGCCATTTTACGGGTTCCACTGAATGGTCGCACTGCAATGAAGCACGGACCTGTTTCCATTCGATACTCTTGATATTCATAGTATTCTTGTTATTGTAAGGATGCTCAACGACAGGTGGAAATTCTGTGAGGAACTCATTCAATCTGGCGTTAATTCTACGGCGCATAAAATATGCTACAAATTCTTGTTTGTCAGACGATATCCATAGTGGTACAATATTATGTGAGTCAACTTGTGTAAAGGGTACATTTACGGGTAATGCCGCTTTCACTTGTTCTACGCATTGTAGTTGCTCACGTAACGGCGTGAAATCGCACACAACTGCAGCGATCTTGTGGTTACGTACAAATTCCGGCAGGCACACTGCTGTATCACCAACGCATAAATGAAAGGGTATTAATAAATCTTTACATTCTCGCTCTACTTCTTCTAAGCCACCAAGTAAGAAATCGTATTGGCGTAGAGTAGTAACCTGATCTAGAGGTGAAATGATATATGCTATCAATAGTGGTAGCTCAAATTTAAGTGCTAACCGTTGAGCGAACAAAAAAGCCCAATTATCTTGAACTCGAACATCGCGATACATCCAATAAAGTATACCTCCGCAAAGAGATTCACTGACTCTGCTCTCATTACTCAGAACGCGCACACGCTTTTTATTAAACGGAAATTCCGAGATACTCACAGCGGTAGCCAAGCGCTTCTGACAAAGAGACTCTTTAGAAATGTCACCATCTGTTGTCTTTTTGATTACTTTTAACGTCGGTACATGTTTTGCATTAGTTTCTTCGGGTGAAGAACTTTCAGTTTCTTTATGGAGGCTATATTTTTTGGTGTCAGTGAAGCTTCTTAACCGCCTCATATTTAAATTTTTGGAATCACTTGCATAAATAAAAATTTAATTCTTGCTGCATCGGTTTGAAAGGCTAATTTAAATCTTATTATCTACTCGAGTTTAAAAGATTGAGTTAATTAAGTTGCATGCGCGGCTTAGTTTTTGAATTTCATCACAGGATATACATACATACTTTTATTTTATGAATTGCAGAAAAACCTTTTTGGACGATTTATCGATTTCCGTGTTAATTTATCAGCAGAAAAATTTAAAATATCGATACTTAATAACTGATTTTTCTGCAGAAATGTGTAGTCCTATTGGACTAAACCCTTTTAATTCGCAGATAGATCAAACCACTCGGATTGACGATCGTTGTTAATATTTTAACGATCGCAATCACTACACTAACAAAGAATGTATAATACGAAGTTACAAGTCCAGGATTAGTATATATGATATATGAAAACGGAATAAAACTGGTATCAAGCTATCCACCTAAGCAATTCTAAAAGTAGAGAGTATGACTGAATGCAATTTTTCGTGCATACTCCTCGAACGAATCACCTTTATTTAGCCCATTTAGAGCCCTGATTTTACGCCGAAAAAATTTTCAAAATACAATACACATTTTTGTCTTATTTTGTATTGTGAAAGGAGTGTGACGTCAGCAATGTATCAGCTAACTGTTAAAACGTATAACTGAGTAATGGATTACGGTTGATTGTTTCAGGAACGAGCGGGTTAAATGAAGTAAAAAAATTAATAGAAACTATCAGAAAAAATTTTAGAAAATATATTTCAATGGTACATATTATGTACATACATATATTAATGGTAAATATATGTATATCAATCAACTTAGAAGACATAATATAATGAGAATGCCTGTTGCTAAAGCATATACTATATTTAAGGGAAATTGATAGATATAAGAATAATGAGAAAGAAAACAAATTGTTTGAAATTTCCTTTACTTGTTTCAATATTAAAAGCAAAGAACATTTACATTTTTATCGGAAAACACTCGACTGGTCGGAACATTTTAGCAGCAATCACATATTAAAATGCGCAATGCACATATGTTAAAAAGTTATTGGGAAAGCAAATATCATTTACTTAGCCTTATAAACTGTGCCACCATATCGCGTCACAAAGGTTGCTACATCAAATTTACGCTGACATCCCTTATAATTCATATAACGCACTTTCCCAAAAATTGGTCTTTCAGCCCAGCCTTGGTCATGTACGCCACCAATTGACCACATGCACCCTGAAAAGAAATATTTTTATGTATGAAAATTTGCAACTATTGTAAGTTTAATTCCGCAATTTTTTGCACACAATAATATCATTGCCTACATACCAACATATCCATTTGGATCTCGACCGTCCAAACTATACTTATCGTTTAAAAGAATAGCTACTTCCAGTGCCTCTTCTGGCGTAGAAGACCATTCGAGTATTTTTTTGGCCCAATACATTCGCAGAAATCCATGCATTTTGCCTTCACGTACTAACTGCAACTGCGATGCATTCCAAAGATCGTCGTGTGTGTGAGCTTGCTCGAATTCAGCCAGTGTGTAGGCAGGAGAACGTTTATCCTTGCGGTGATCATCAAGCGTTTTAGCTGCCCAAGCATGTAATCCTTTTAGATTATCGTAATGTTCATTGTAATAACAAAAATTATCTGCCAATTCTCTACGCACTATGGCTTCTTCGCAAAAGGACTCCACAGATGCTTTGTATTTGGGTTTGAAACGCATCACCTCAAGAACGCAACGTTGTACAGAAATTTGACCTAACAAAAATAATTGAGGATGTCACCACACCTTAAGTGCAAAATAGAATAAAAACCATTACCAAAGTGAAACCAGGGAGATAGACCTGATAGAGCATTTACAGTTGGATCATTCCGCTTTTCACTAAATATTCGCAAGCGATTTAAACAGAAGCTCTCCAATTGTGAACATGCCGCTTTATATCCTGGTTGGGCCCACTCTACTGCATCTACTGATCGATCACATTGTATGGATGTTTCAGCTCCTTTCCAGTTAATTGCTGTACAATTTAACATTACCTCTTTGTTATAGGCATGCCTTAGCACTGGTGGAAATTCCGTAAGAAATTCTGCAAGCTTAGAATTAAGTTTCCCGCGTATAGTGCGCGCACCATATTCTTGTTTGTTGGATGCCTCCCAAAGTGGCACCAAATTATGCGCGTCCACTTGCATAAACGGTACATCACGAGGTATTGCATTTTTTATTCCCTCTACCCACTGCTGTGACACACGAAGTGGTGAAAAATCGCACACAACAGCGCTTATTTTTCGCGAGCTTACGAATTCTGGAATACACTCCAAAGGTGATCCCAGAAATAATTTGAATGGAATACTTAATTCCCGACATTCCTGATCTACTTCTTTTAAGCCATCTAATAAGAATTTATAATGGCGTAGAGTAGCATTTAAAAATTTAGGTACCAAACAGTAGCAGACAAAAAGTGGCAATTTTAGTTTTAACGATAAACGTTGTGCATATAATAACGCCCAATTGTCCTGCACACGAGCGTCGCGTGACATCCAATAGAGGACACCTCCAGGACGCGATTCTGGTACCTCTTTCACTATACTAAGCACACGTACGCGTTTTTTGTTGAAGGGAAATTCGCTAATACTTTTTGCTGTAGCCAGGCGTCGTTTCTGAAGAGCTTGAAGAGTAATTGATACCTTTTCTATGGTAGTCACTGACGACGTAGCATCTTTATCATTTTCAACCGGACTTTCCGCCTTACTTTTCTTAGTCACTATTGCATTACCACTCTTGTTTTTGATACGCTTCATGTTTAATTCAGCGCAATTCTTAACACGCAAATTGTTTGATCTCACAATATTTGTTTATTTACTTATGAGAATGCAATTAATTGCATCGACGTTTATGAGATGGATGAATTGTGTAGTTTTTTTTATCGAATATGATGTTATCGATTAATTATTAACAAATATCTGCACTTTCAAATCAACCGTTATTTTTAATCATGATTCAATAATAGTAATATTAATTTTCTTTTGAAGTTATTTTATATGTACATAAATCTATTAAAGTCTTTTTTATATCATCGTTTGATGGATATATATGATTAGTTTTCACGTGCCACTTGGATGCTTTGCAGCTGGGAGGGTCAAAAATCGGCGCCTTCTCGACACAGGGCCGCCTCGGGATGGAACCGTAGCATTACTGCGGCCTGGAGCGCAGCCGTAGCGGACATATAATTCCCCCTTATATATATTTGACTACGACGTGGGCTTCGACTTGCAAGTGGTCGTACGACGAACATGAATCACAATTACAACAACAACAACGAAAAACACTACAAAAGAGCAGCAAATAAAGAAACTTCTCGCCAGAGGCTGTTGCTCGTTTTGCAGAACATGCGGGGGATGACGACTATCCCACAACAAGTAGGTGGGCTGGAAGTCGTAGAGCTAATAATGCTTCCCTCGCTGAGTTGTCTCTCGCACTAGTAGCAAGGTGATACTCACTGCCCTGTCTCGGGAGACCTCCAAACACGGCATCTACTAGAGAATCGCGAAGGTGAAAGGAACAGACTGACCAGCGTAGACGAAATAGTGGGAAGGGCAATGTCCACTAAGATTCATCGAAGAGAAGGTCAAAGAGAACGCCAATGCAAAAACAACGAACGTGAACGTGGCAGATCAAGCGCACGAAGCAGCAGATTTGACTCGACAGACAACAGGCGTTCATCCACGGAGCGATCAACCATCATTGTTGTGGGCATTAAACTTCCGCAAAAACTGAGTTCCCCAACCGAAACTAGGGGCGCAGAGACGCAGAACGTTGGACAGAGTTATCTCACCGAAAACGTGAGACCGAAGAAAAGAGCGAGTTGTCAAAATCGTCATCTAATGATAGATCCACTAAGGTGGGAGACCTAGATCTCTAGATAGGACTAGCGATAGGCTTGAGGGCACACATACTACCTCCAAAGGATAGTGGATAAGAGGCAAGTATATGCGTTAGGCCTACTGTAAGTGCAGAACGAATGGCTCTACACCTCCCACTGGAAGGTGTTAGACGAGAAAGCTAAAGGAACCTTTTTGAAGCTGAATTTATGTGTAGTTGAGGAGTCGTTCAACAACATGTGGAAGAACAGCTTCAGGCTCAATATTAGACTCAGCTGTATACTTGCTAAACCTTGGAGATCGGGGGTGCAAGAAGAAGAAGCGCAATCAGATCCAGCAGAAGCTGAACCAGTAGAAGAAGGGGCTGTATCCAAAAGTAGCTCATCCCAAGATAAAGAAGACCTGGACCTCATGAGAACTGGAAGTAATAGTGAGGACCTGATGCTCTTCGACTTCGAGAAGCAAACGGGGAAAGATTGCCCAGTTTAATCTACATCATGCGGTTGCTGATTCGGCGGTAATAACGCTTAAAATAGCATCGGATGATCTGGGCCTTGTTATGGCGCTGGAGCCATTTACCTCTATAGGTTAGATATGGGGATTAAAAGGCAAATCCACTGAAGCTATATGGGATTTTACGTGTGATAACCTTAGGCTATGTATCATACTTAACAGAAACATGGACTACTTTTGTCTTTCAGAGTTTGTAAGTAACAATACAAACGTGCACAATATAGCATGAGGAAGCACCGACAACACCGTTAGAGGCAAGCCCCTACAAGAATTCATGCTAAGTAATGACCTCCATGTAGCCAACGTGGAGTGTACACCCACATTCGTTACAAGGAATAGGAGCGAGGTACTAAATATAACAATAGTAAATTCTTGGTCTGAGAATATGATCTCACAGCGGATGGTTTCGCCTGAAACATCTATGTCAGATCATAGAATTATACAATTCTCCGTAGGATCTTCCGTCGAGACTACTAAAACATTAAGAAACCTCAGGAAAACTGACTGGACTTAAATATTAACAGGGAAGAAATAACAAACAAAGCAAGGAATTTCCAATAGTTATCTTAGCCAAAAAGATAATCAGCTATAGTTCGGTAGAGTGGGCAATGAACTCCTTTGAGGAATTTAAATCACCAGGAATAAATGGTATAAGGCCAGCACTATTAGAAAACGGAGAACAAATAATAACAGCACTGGTACATATTATTAGAGAAAGCCTTGCATTGGGATACTTACCAATGGCATTGAGAAGAGCCTTTTTAAGAGTTATTACCAAACCTGGAGAAAAGGATTACAGAGTAGCCACATAAGAACTACACACCGCGCAGCATGCATGGGTGAAAGAAACAAAGTTCAGCTCATCTCTGTTCCGGGGCACACAGGTATTGAAGGAAACGAAATAGCAGATAGCTGCCTCAATCTCTCCTACTGGACCAGAGCTATTTCTTTTCTTAGGTTTCCACTCAATTACATAAGAGATAAGAACTGGGGAAATGAGTATAAGAAACAGCTTTTGGTAGTGCAGTGACGAAATGAGACAATCAAAGAAACTTATGAACGGCTACAATACCAAAAGATTTTATAATATAATATTATTAAGTGAAAGTAAGAATAATTTTAGAATACACATGTACAGGCTCGGAATATGCTCCAATGAAATTTGCCGATTCGGTGAGCTAGTACAAGAAACACCGGTGCACATCATATTTGAATGCGGAGCTGTCGCAAGAAGAAGACACAAGCACCTAGGAGCCATTCACCCGAAAGAGAATCTAGCCCGATTAGTTTTATAAGGACATTAGGTCTGGTTAAAATGATGTGAAGAAATCGGTGGACACAATTTACCACTGGTCACTGGTTTTGAACTTAATTTGATTCACGCCCCAGACAAATGAGCTGCCATTGTAAATAAATTAGCTGCAATAAAGTAAAATGGAAATAATCACAATCGATTGCGGCTAAATATATATTGAAATGGGTATTCAGTGCATTCCATAATAAAGTTACACTTTATTCGGGTACATATTGAGGTGGTCGGTCATACACACTTTTTGCGTTCTAAAGGTATTCTACCTATTTTTCTAGTTTAATTATGGATTTAAGCTGGATAAAATTCAAAAAGTACCTAAACGTGTTGAAAATTCGACTATTTGTGGCAGAAGTAGTTTCGATTCCTATTAATATTTTTAATCTTGATTATAACGGCAATGTTTTTATTGTGAAAAGGAATACTTCCAACCATCATAAACGAATTTTTCGAAAAATTTTAATTTACATCATAATCCTGAATATTGCCTTTACGATCTCCTACTTTTGTGGGGCTTCCTTCATGCGGGTATATTTTCCAGAAGAATTTAATCATTTTGACACAACGGGAAATATGAAAGTGGCTCAGCATACAGCTGTGTTACTAATGTGTTTTAGCGGCTTCAAATATTTAACAACACTTTGCCTTTTGAAAAACTGGCTGAATAATCGAAACGGAAAGATCTTGGAATCCCTTCTGAATGAGTTGATATCAATGTGTCAAAGCGTGTGCAAACATTCTGATTTCGAGTTCAACAGGATGCCGCCGCAATGCAGTCTCATCTTTCATATGCAGCTTATTCTAACCGTTCGAAGTATATTAAACAATACCGTTAGACTTTCGTTATTTGATGATACTTTTTCAGTAATAATGGAATTTTGCACCGACTTTTATTATGCATCAATTTGCTTTATGTATCAAACGATGATCTTAGTTTTGTGGAATCTGCATTTTAATGTTAATAAATATTTCGAGATGAGTGTAAAATGTAAAGTAATTAAAAGGAAGAATCTTCTTACGTTTCTAAATTTAATGCAAGGTTTAAAGAATGCCCAACGCGATTTCGTTAATCACTTTTTATGGCTGCCTTGCATTCAGTGCATTAAAGCTTTCCTTCTTATTGCTGAGAGCTCATGTTTTTGGAATTACCTGCACCAACGGAACCTGTTGGCTGAAATCAAATTAGATTGGTTATATTGCGACGCCTTTTTATGTTGGTTGGACTTATATCTTTTGTCGTTCTCACTGAAGGAGCTTTATAAACTTTATCGTCACTCTCAACACCAACTGTTTATAGAGATTATCAGAGAGTCTGATCAGCAGTACTTGGTAAGATCGTTTGAAGATATTAATTTCTTTTGCTACCTTTCTTATCTCTTTTTTCTGTAGACCGCAGCTTTCATATTGGATCATCATTTGAAGCCCTATACAAATTGCTTGCTTCTAAATGCTCAACATACATATCACTGGACCCTTTTAACTCCATTGGCTTTCGGATATATCATGTCTTATATTAATCCAATCGATTTGAGTTATTTACAGATGTTAGGTCAATAAAAGTTTACATAACGGAAATGAAAAACTATCTTAGGTTCACTTCATAACAGGGACAACGTTAGAGATCCTGAAGTTTTTTTTTTAACAATTACATGCTTTGTTATAAGTATAGCTAAAAAGACTGAAGGCCCACCGTGAACTAACAATAATTCCACCATTCTTCAGATCTAAAAAAATATATTCCTGTATATATTTTCGCAATTGAATTTATTTTGTATTATATAAGTACATTTTAAATTTCGATTATACGGCTTATGCATTAATTTGGTTTAAATTCTTGACTACTTGTATTTGAAAGAAAATTTAAAATTACAAATAATTTCCACGTAAATAAATAACTGCCATTTGATATACAAGATACATGCCACTTTATATACTCTTCACATATGCATACATAAGTTTTATTGAAATGATACATGTGAATTTTGAACTATATTTCAATTTTCTTTTATAAATAATTTAAATTTTAATTGGATTTGGTTCATGTTTCATTTCGTTCACAAAGCCTTTTTATAGTTCGTTTATTATTTTTCCCTCATTGCCTTATGTTTGTGGAGTATTGTGTATACATAACTTTTTTGAGACTCCAACAATGTATGTATATGTACTTTAAATGTAATGTACGTATGTATTTATATATTAGCTTTTAAGTTGCTAAAGACACACGTATAGATTTTAGTGGATTTCAATATGTATTAGTATAAATCAAGAGTTATATACTTGATTTAAAGTTGCAAGTAAGTATGCGATTTTAAACTATTACATAGAGATGTAATGTATTAAAAACCAATAAGAAACAAAAGTATTCACTCTCTTCATATACCTACCTTACATTAATACAAATTCATCACACGATGGAAATTAAAATTTTTAATTGAAAATTAAGTTCTCGATGTTTTTGACAAATTCACTCTGATCAAGCATATTTCAAAATCTAAATATTCCCGTAAGTGCAACGGAGTAAGCAATATTATAAGGCAAGATGATTGGATGTTACATTAAGCAACGGACTAGTCAAATCACGAACCGTTATTGTTTTCATTTAAGCTGAGTTAATTAGAAACTGAACCGAATATTATGATAATCGAAGTTTTGCCTTTAGATTTTAGGCTTTTCTTTTCAAAACTATATTTTGACATATTTCAAATATGTGACCACTCGGACTCAAATCAAAAAAACTATGACAAATTCAAAAGTTTTTTAAAAATGAACCTTTAATTTTAATTTGATCAAAAAAAAGTTTATGGAAGTCATTATTTAAGCATTAACAAAAATTCAAAATAATTTTCCAGCATTAAAAGCTGAATTGACTTTTCAAATACTATGTATGCATATAATTATGTATATTGATAATAAATATAAACAATTTTCAATATTGTACATATATGTATATGGAAATAATTGGAGTATATAGTAAAAATGTCAACAATAATTGGGAAATTTTTTTCTTAGGGCGATGTGTTTACAAAATTATAAACAAAATTATCACAATTAACAAAAGTGCGGATAGTATGAAAATTGCAGCCCACTGTCGTTTATCTGAAGGAATTTCAAAATAATTTGAATATTATTTCATTATTTCGTATTAAATATTGCACTTACCACTGTTCATGTGCAATACTTTGGCAACTTTTTTCATGGTTGTATCCAGTTTGGACTCCGTTGTATCAAAATCATTACCAAAATCGTCAAGCATGCTGTAAGTCAGAAAAGAATTAAATAACTTATGTCTCAATCAGTATTTCTTGGAGGCACTTACACAGCCTGCTCATCCAACTCCACGCCTATCTGTCGTGACACAGTCTTTAACGTTCCAATGGAATCACTTATCATATCCAGTTGCTCATCTTGTCCTTGCAGCATACGCTGCTGCACCGATACAGTTTCACCAACAAAACGATGCCCCGGACTGTCAAGTGATGCATAATGGCCCGGACTATCGACTGTATTCTCCAATTTGGAATATTTTGTACTACTGTGACGCTGTGCCGCTGCGGCCATTGTACCGGCAATTGAATTAGCCACACCACTGCCGCTGGTTATCAATGAATTTTGTTGTAAGAGACCGCCGCCCAAGCCACCGTTCGAACACTCTACCAGATAGGTTTTATCGTTGCTACTGTGATGATGATGATGATTGTGATGATTCTGCTGTTGACTATGATTATTGTGATGACTACTGTTATTTAAGCTGTTGTTATAGTTGTTGATGTAATTACTGTTGCCGTTTTGATTGTTTTGATGATTGATTTCGTTATGGTTGTGTTCATCAAGTAGTGGTTGATGTGCTGTAATATCCCTGTCTCTGTTCCTATTCAGGCTCATCTTCTCTTTCATCTGCCTGACTTCATCGCGTGTGTTGTCGATGAAATGCCGTCGACTCAAAAGCTCACGGTTATCAATTCGAAATTTATTTGGATTTTTTTCAACTATGCGTACAGTGAGTTAAGGAAGAGCCTTTAAATAACTGGCGCAGGAATACATACATATGTATATTTGTACATGTCTTTATGTATAAATAAATTTGCCAATGTTTGTAATTACCGTACTTTCAAGTGCCATTTGCCCATCTTTGTATGTGTACTTATACACATATATTTAGGAAATAAAGTTTAAAGAAAGTGCATAAATGGAAATTTGATCTGCTTATATTCATTAATTCATTCATACACTAACCATGAGAGGTTTGAGTATGATGGTAATAAGAGAAAAAAGTTGTATTTACAATTTTCATGCAAATATATACATACATGCGGCAGATCCAGAAACGATTGTTGGCAAATATTATAACTTATTATATTATTTTAGTTGCAAAAGTAACTCCCAGAAAACACACTATCCTTGATATATTCATATGAATGTATATACATTGAATATAATAATAATAGTTAAATTATATTCCATATTTATGATGTTTTGTGACTAATATACAAATGATCGATAACAGGTTACAAAGGAAAACGTGAAAATTTATTACTTCTAGATCGATAAGATATTGCATTGGGGTTGTAGAAGATAATAGACTAATAAAATTAAGGCTGATAAACAAGAAATGTGTACCCCGTTCCGATCGAGGAAGGGTAATATGTATGTATGTATGTAAATTCATGAAGAGTTAAGCCGTGCCGAATAAGCAGCATTAAAGAAAAAATTGATTTTCCAACAATTACAATGACTGCTCTGTAGTAATTATGCAAACATGTATGATTGTATTATATGTACATATGTTTCTAATGGTTAAAGAACTTACCTTATAAAGCTGTCAGTTGAGCTATTTGCATAACTGACGGTTCAATGTTTCAGACAAACGACAGAAACGACAATAAATGCTCTTTTTAGCTAAGGCTACACTACCCGACCCGGACCCGGCGACAAGATAACAGCGTAATATAAAAAAGAGAATTGGATGTGATGTATTCAATTATAAAAAGGATATTAATTGTGTCCTCTAAATCCTCCAAGTCCCATTCAATGCTACGCAGCGAATTCCTTAACTCGGTTGTAGTCCATTCAACTTCAGTACTGCCGCTGCTATCGCTTAGATCACGCCAACGCAAATAAAGACCACGCGTTTTATTTAATGCCTTGAATACTTCGCTAATAGAGTTAAGGGTTCATAGTAAATAGAATTAATACCACCCCAAAGGCATTTTATATTCCATGACAGCATTGTATAACGTAGATTTGTGAAAGAAAGAGAACAAAATGTAATATGTAAATAATATAGAAACCAGTTATAATATAACCCGAAGAAAACAATATTAGCATTAATAATAATGATTATTTACGCACTCCTTCACAACGAAGAATGGATCTTCTAGAGACATATCCTGGAGCTATTATAGAAGAACGTAGTTTCCAATATTTTATTATTATATTCAGACGTCACTTCTTTAAGAAAAATTTTTAACTTATAAAGCCTTTTATTTTTTATTTATGTATTTTTGATGTTTATGCGCTTCTTTAATTTTTTGTTGATTTTTCCTCTATCAGGTTTATGAAAACTTTATAGATTTTCCTGACACACAGATGACGTTGGAAATCACATATATGAATGTAGAGATCTACATAAATTCATATGTATTTTCATATACTAGAATCGCTTGGGACTCATTCAGTTGCAACAGACACAAAACCGTTGTTCGTATGGTTGACTTTTTTGACACAATCATAATATCTATGTATTTCCAAACTATTATTTTTATTTTGTGTATTGCCGTTTGAAAGTTTTTGGTACTTTGGCAAAACTCTTGATATTTTTCTTTTCTGATTTTACAATGTTTCACAACTAATAAATATTGAACTAAATTTGTTTCACATCGAAAATTTATTTTCCTGCTCGAAAATACCGTGTTTGTGCATTGTTATGTCAACGTCCGCGTTCTTAGTAAACTACTAAAATTTTTGTGCATCTCACACTTAATTTCCATTTGGAACTAGCAACGAGCAGACTACCTTCCCCTGCTTACATGCTCAAAAAGTTCCTATGCGCATGACGGGGTGAAGCATACATGTATATTCGTTTGCTGCTTTCTGCTGGCACTTTTTTTTGTGTGCATAGATATGTACCTACGATGTTTAGAAGCTTTCAAACCACCCCATGGATTGTAAATTGCAATGGGTCATAAGTAATGGCTTGCAATACTAACCACGTCTCCTATTTATACGTAAATTTAGTAATAATTAGAATAAAGTTTTTTAGTAGAATATTCTTTATTGAATACCTTTAAATTTTGATTTTGGATATCCTACATTCGTTTTCACTTTCGCGCTACTATTTACTTTTGGCTGTGATCCTTCCAAGTGTGTTTATTTTTACCATTCCAACGGGCCTGCGCCGGAGGACGATTTGTTTTATCTGCTCTCCTTTTGTTTCCAAATTCATGAAAATTGAAATCTTTCGAAAACTAAAGATTTATTATGACATCGTAAAAGTCAATTTTATAGAACATGTGGTTGCCACATTCTAGGATTTTGGGTTCAAGCCTGAGTAAAAATCCGATGGCAGATCGAACTTTTGGTCTGCGACGCATATCGCATATCGAGCTTGATTTTATTAGGAATACCAGAACGAAATATCAAAGCGCCAAGGAACTTGGCAATTTTTCCGCACTTTGACCATTTGCTGATAATAATTAAAGTGGAAAACAACAAATCAAGTTTAATAATTTTTTAATATAAAACATATTTTTATATCCAATTTTGCCTAGCAAAGTTTGAAAATGTTAGGCAACGCAAAACCGATTTATCTGCAATGAGCTTAAGTTTGGATCGTTGAAATATTAGGTTGTCAAATATCTCCCTTCCGCTTTTTTGTCTTTTGAATTTCGCGGCTATGTACACTATACATAATTTAAAGGGCTGCAGAAGGCTGGATACAAAAAAAAGTTTGATGTTTGGGTGCCGCATAATTTGACGCAAAAAAACCTTCTGGACCGAATCAACGCCTGCGATATGCTGCTGAAACGGAACGAACTCGACCCATTCTTGAAGCGGATGGTGACTGGCGACGAAAAATGGATCACATACGACAATATAAAGCGAAAACGGTCGTGGTCGGAGGCCGGTGAATCGTCCCAAACAGTGGCCAAGCCGGGATTGACGGCCAGGAAGGTTTTGCTGTGTGTTTGGTGGGATTGGAAGGGAATCATCCACTATGAGCTGCTCCCATATAGCCAGACGCTTAATTCTATCATCTACTGCGAACAACTGGACCGCTTGATGCAGGCGATCGACCAGAAGCGTCCAGAATGGGCCAACAGGAAGGGTGTAGTGTTCCACCAGGACAACGGAAGACCACACACTTCGTTGATGACTCGTCAGAAGCTACGGGAGCTCCGATGGGAGGTTTTATCGCATCCATTATATAGCCCGGACGTAGCGCCAAGTGATTTCCACCTGTTCCTGTCCATGGCGAATGCCCTTGGTGGTGTGAATTTGAACTCAAAAGAGGCTTGTGAAAAGTAGTTGTCCGAATTCTTCGCAAATAAGGAGGGGGGCTTCTACGAGGAAGGTATTATGAAATTGCCGCCTAGATGGAAACAGATCATCGAAAAAAACGGTGCATATTTGAACTAAATCCGATCACTGTAATACGTTTTATAAAGCATTGAATGAAGAGCAAAAAAGCGGAAGGATATTTGACAACCTATATATTGTGGTTTATAATAAACATATAATTAAGATTATATAATGTTCTACAAACCTTTTTCAGACTTAAAAGAAAGGATATTTGTATTAATTTTCGGATTGATGTAATTTGTTTATTATAAAATGTTGAAAGAAAATACTTTTAATTGTAATCTGCTACTCAACTCTTGTAAGAAAATAAATCACTATCTGTTTAGTTTTAAAGTTAAAATACATTTATATATAGTATATTTTATATAATTTTTTTTGTCCTATGCGACCTCATCCAATGCATTTTCTAAATTACTTTGCATTAACTTCATGCGGAATTCATGTTCTTTTTGAGTAATTCTCATGCGCTGCTTGTGTTCGCGGGTCTTTTGTTCAAATTCTTCTTTTCGATATTCCATTTCTTGTTTAGTGCTTTCCTTTTGCAACTGGATAAGCTCCAATCTTGCTTCCGTTAGCGTTTCAACACTGGGTTTATCGTTGCGCTTTAGTTGTGTTAAAGGTAATGCCCACACATTTTTGCGGAAGGAATTGTCTAAATTAAAAAATACAGTTTATGAATTAGATTTTAGTTGTAATTGAGATAAATACTACTTCTATCTGGATCGAAAATTTTCAGTCTCCGGGTTGATCTATCGCCAATTATTCGAAAATTAGAGCTTACTCGGGCGTTAGTATCACCTGGGGATTAGAACATTACTTTAAATATAACTTTGTATTGAATATTTAAGGGGCTTCACATGAAATCACTTTCTATATTTTTATGGCTTAACATTCACGACCACTAAATGCGTTTTTGTGTGGAACCCCTTATTTACCTTATTAACGTACTATCCCTCCTACTGGATTTCAAGTTCTTTAATTTAGATAAAGTTTCATTATCACTTTCGACCTCGAAGTTCTCCATATCCGAAGCCGCAACATTGCTGGTCTTTTCAAAAGGAGGCTGTTGAGGTGACATATGGTCCTCAAGCTCTACTTTGAGTATAGGATCTGATATGAAATTTCTTTTTTTAAGTATACTGCAAAACTTTATATAATAAGAGCATTCTTTCTTACCTTCCGTTTCTGTCTCTGCCTCACTATCCACTGATTGCCGGCTTTCATAAAGAGGATCTAAAAATTAATATTTGTATCAACAGACCACATAAAAAATAAATTTAAATTTTTCACAAACCTGTATATTCATCAAGCAAACTTTTCCACTCATATTTTCTATTATTACCTAACAAATAATCTAAGGCATTGTACAGGTCCCATTCACCTTCAAAATTGTGCCCACTTCTCAGTTTCGTTCTTTCTGCCTTATATTTATTACTTAAGTTATGAAGTTTCCCCTTAATTTCGTCTGCGCTGAAGTTGTATCCACCTTTCCTCAGTTTCATTGACATTTCTTCGTAAATTGGGCCAGCTCTTTTTGTGGATTCCATCCTGGGCTTATTCTCCTTCCATAACTCTAATAGGTATTTTACTGCCTCCATCGACCATATAACTCTCTTCTTCTTCTGTGGTCTGTTATTTTTAATAAAAATTACATTATTTAATTTCTTAGAAACACATTTATGAAAAAAACAATAATTTATACCTCTTAGATTCTGAGTCCATTTTATCGTTTTGTTTACGTTCTCTGATTCATGTACATGGAGAAGATGAAAATTTATCGCCGTTACTTTGCATAGTCAAGCGCTGGTGAAATCGATATGATATATTTGATAGTTTACCGGTCGTCTTCACGAGGTCGGAAATTTCTTATGTTACGAACATTGTACAACCTCAACAATGGTGAGATGGGCTGCAAGAAGGAAAGATATAAATGGTGATTCACACAAAGTACTTACTTGAAACCCATTGTGTAAGTTGTAGAGCTCTCGTACGCCTATAAAAGATTTTATTAATTGTAAACGCATATATACGCAATAGGAAGTTTTATAAATTCATGCTCTGCTTGTTACATTCACATGGAACGTTCGCAAGATCTGCGGTCCTAGCATAGTAGGATATGCAGGCGAATTGAAAGCTTTTTACTCCTAGGAGAAATTACCGGTGAAGATAGCAAGTAAGCAGGGCACATTAGCCTTATCAGAATGGCACAATTTAGGTCTGGATACTGTAGCAGATTGTTGTTAAGGTTAAGATCCCACTTATCTAGACTCAACCCCATCATATCCAACGTATGCCATGCAAGTGGAGAGTCTCCGCACGACATTAACCACCCCTCCACATGCTCCCTTGAACCGACTCATCTAACACCCCTCTCCCACTGGTCCAATCCCGTCGAAACATCACGTTTCCTGGACATCCCACTAGGTGACTTCGACGACTTCGATTGATCAAAGCTGGACCTAAGCTGGGTTAGCGAACCGCTACAACCCTATAAGAAAGAACCCTTCCAGAAAGGAAGGTTTCCGGAGGCAATAACTAAATAGGAATTGACGGCTCGCATAGGATTCTTTTGTGCGCGTTAACGTTTGGTGCAATTACAACTGGGAATATATGATTATCGAATTATAATAAAAAATAAAAGTTAGATAATAAATTGCAAATAATACATACAAACTTGAGGAACTGTTATTGTTCTCTTAAACGAAATTATCTATGTATGTATCAGCCATTGGCAAGTGTTAGTGGCTAAATACCTCAATAACTGATAATGATAAAACAATCTATTGGTTTTTTTTTCAGGTAGGTATGTAATAATAATCAATGTGAAGATAGACTCGAGTAATCAGTTAAATTCAGTTTGTGGTTAGTCCGCTATAAGAACAGAGCTTTTTTTTCTGGACGCGCAAAGTAAATGGATACATAAATAAAAGTGGTTCACGATCTTCTATTTGCCAATTATACCACAAAGCAAATAAAAATTATTTATATAGGAATATATAATTCAGTAATTCTTTTTAAATTTGTATATAACTAAAATTTAAATATGTTGCAAAATGATGCGGTTCGGAATTTACAATTCGACAGCGAAATTCGCGTTGCACAACAAAATAACACGGAACCGAGAGGTATCAAAACAATATAACGATGTAGACCAAATTTTGAAAAATGCATAAATCCAAATTGTGAAATAACTTATGTACATATGTACATCCAAATATGTACATACGTACTCGTACATATATCTGTCATGTCTTAATAGTTCTATTGTTTCATGAAATTATCTATTTTGGTTTTCCACAGTACATGATATAAATCTAACTTACGACTAACTTTGATATACATTTATCGTACATACATACATATGTTCGTACGTATGTACGTGCGTTTGTTTTCCGCCTGCTTGGACTTTCTTATCTGCTGTCTTTATGGTGAAGATTTGTTTTACGATTTATGATCAATAACTTGTAAATTTGGAAAAAAAAATGCATGCATTTATTGTTATTAAATCGCATATAATAAAGATTAGAGTGCAGTTACAATTTGAGAAGGGCCTTTATAAGTTATTAACCAATATATAATATTACATTGATAAGGCTGTTGGCAGATAAAAGCGAAGAGTACCTATGCTTAGACCCAATGAACATTTGGACTTTGCGGAAAATGTTGATAAAATAAACGGAAATTAAAAGCAGCAATTGGTTAACGTCTGCAAAATAAGGAGAGGCGACATGGCCGCTTTGAGCGAAATTTTGTAGAGTTGCTGGTATTGCGAAAAAACTCACTGACTGGTTTTTCAAATTTTTTGAAAATTTCTTTAGCATTTAAAAGGTTTTTATCCTTTCCATAAACAAATTTAAGATTATAGGAAGATTTTTGAGAGAAATGCTACGAAAAGCTCGTGAATGAAAATGCTCAAACCAAATATTATATTAAGCTCTTGAACAAGAATGCTTGTTCAATTAGATCATTTTTGTATATTGAATGAGTGTTGTTCGATATATAAATTTGTGTAAAACTGCTTTGAATATGTTTTCACGAAACTTGGGTTAGAAATGAGAATTCGAGCACCATTCATAGATGAGACTTTCTAGGGTCATTCGATCCTTGGTCTTATTATTGTACAATGTCTTCGACTTCAAATGATTTGCGTTCGGAGTGTTCAATTTTCTGAATAATTATCTAGGTAAAGATAATGGATTTGACAAAGATTCCATTTTTCTGCGACCAAGGAGAAGGATTGAATTCAGACAATCCGATTCTGATTCCAACAAACACATTCACTTATTTTAGTTTTATTTCTGTTTTCAAGTTTTGTATTTTTTCCAGTCTACGATGGGCCTATCAGTATAACCTCACAGCCAACAAGTAAGTTAAATTACGTTAAAAGTTCAATTCAATTTGAAAATTCTTCATGGAAAACTCCCTCAGCATCTCCCGAACGCATACCGTTGCCTCTACCTGTCTCAACGATTGGTGGCAGCTTGGCCACTCATCGCAGCTTTAGTATACCGATGACAGGTTTTGATTTTCTAACTGAATTGCCCTCTGTGCATATTGAACAAACATTTGAATTGAATGAGTGTAAGTACAAAGATGTTTTAACGGTGTATTTAACAAAACCTGCTTTTTGAAAATTTGTAATTTTTCGACAGCCTTGACTTCCGTGTCCTCCGAAAACCGCTATACCGTACGCTCGCCACTAGGAGATGCTATTTATTCTGCTTCAGAGAGTTCAACTTCGAGAAATCGGCTACTTTGCGGTGCTGGTAGACCATTTCAAATGCATATATTGGATAAAACACATCAAGAGGCGATACTGCTACGTAAACCATTGGCTCTTGGTGCATTTTGTTGTCACCCGGTCAATTTGGAGGTTTGGATACCTCCGGGTAATTTATTAGGGCGAATAGTAAATTCGCCGGCTTTTTTGAAGCCGGAATATTTCATACAAGATGGTGTTACCGGTGAGCCAACCTTTTGCATTGAAGGTCCGGAAAACTCGGGTTTCTGTTGTTTTTGTTTGCCGAAGGAGTCTTTCTTTAAGGTAAGGCAACAAAAAAGGAAAAGCAATTAATGGCTCAGCTATACAGTCTTAGAGAAAGAGAAGAGGCCGTAGAATATAGAGCGCTTTCATTTAACAAAATTAGAATATTAAAATCTCTCTTAAACTTTCCGTTTTTTCAATTAATGCCCGAGTTTCATTGTACAGAATAGGCATAAAAATTAGATAAGCGGAGTCTGCATAGCTGGACCATTGCTATTTTTTGAGCAAATATAATATAATTCTGAATAAGTCTAAATCTCAAAAAACATCGGCCGATCTTAATAACTTAACGAAGACAACGAAAATTGGTTGTAAACTACATAACACACAAAAATAATTGAGTATTTATATTGACCACCCAATGTTCAAAAAATATTATCAATCTGTATGTATACGAAATATACGTAGATACAAAACTAACAAAAACAACTCGATGCAACAAAAGTTATCGGATGTTAACTCCTGCTCGCCGCAACTTTAATTACCAATGTTTACATCTCAATTAACAGCAACAAAATGTTGAGAAGAGAACAAAGGGCTTTGAGAAAAATATTATTACCCTGCTACTGGGCCCAATAATTTCGATATACGAATGCATATTTTGCCTTTTATTTTAATACTAGCAAATGAACGTTTGTCTATCCATACAGATTCACTCCGGCGGTGATTTGCGCGCATCCATAGACCACAAGTGGATAGCTGGTAAATCACAATATACAACCAACGTGTACTTTAGTGACACCAAATTGTCGGCTAAGGATCGTGCCTTAATTTTGGGTGCTGCGTTTTTGATGGTAAGTTTTTAAAATATTATTCACCTTTTTAAACGAACTAATTTCATTTATATCCTTTCCAATAGGAGTATATGTACTTTCAAACTAGACTCTGACCGTGTACCTTGAGCAGTTTGGGTTATTCATTTCCTACGAACATTCATATGAATCTAATTCAAGGATTAAGGTTTTAAATGAAAGTCATTGCGTTCGACATTTTTATTGATATTCTTTAATTTCATTTTTATTGGCCATTGTGCTATGCATATGCACTTATACTTATGCCTATATACATACATACATATAATGTAACGATATCTATTGAATAATAATTATGTTTATTTACAATTATATAATAATCACTTGTTTGAATTTCGTTTCTTAGATTGTATACCTTTTATATGTATGTACATATAAGTATATAGTTCTTTAAATAGCAGCTGTAAAACAATCATATATATTTTTGATTAGAATAATACGTAAATACTATATTTATTCATACAAAAAAAAAAAAAAAATAAAAAATAATAATAAACAGATGAAACATACAAATATACAATAATAAAAACTGCTTATTATATTCTTTTTAATTCTGTACACGACACTTTATTTTCACACATTTACACGCACATATTAAAACTTAATTGCATATAATTTTATATAATATTAATTTACTACTTGCTTGCGGATTAAGAATTAAGTTTTTCAACTCTAATATGAGTGTGAAAATCAACACAATTAATTTAAAATCACTATTAAATTGTTAAGTCTAACGTATTTGTTATAAATTCAAATAATAATATATTTTTTGTAACTAAATTGGAGAATAGACTATAACTTTGCACTATTAATTAAGAGCTTGAAGCGTAATTATTATTTTAGTTCTCATGAGTTTAAGATCTGTTATTAGAAAATTAAAAACAATTTAAACTCGTTCAAAAACGTTTGACCAAAAAGAATGTGTGTCGTTACTAGCTTTGCAGTCCAGTTAATTACAAAAAGATATAGAACAGAAAGAGGGTAAACGGAGAATATTTTTACTAGTTTTAAAATCTGCCGATGGTGCATTACTGATTGTACATAATACTCAATTTTCCCCAACAGGCTATGAAGTGGACAGAACATATTTGTAGCCGGAAAACAAAACAGAAAATACCTAAAACCACATTATTAACCTTTCCGCGATCTGGTGTCCTCTACAAACTTTTGAATTAATTGAACACATAATATTTTATTATTAAGCATTGAGCCATTGTTTTGCGATGCAATAAAATTCAAATGGAAGAAATTTTCAAACACCAGCACTTTTATTGCACTAGCCACTGCAACAACAGCACTGCATAGTTTTTATTTAATACAGAGAAATTGTAATTTATGCTATTTTTCTTACATATCCTACAATTTCTTCTTTATGTATTTTTTATGAAGTTGTTCTTTATATTTTGATTAAGTTTCTTTGTATTGCATATTTTGACTTAGTGCGGATATATCTGGGCCCATAGCATTTATGTAATGGCTATTTTATTATATTATATGTGTTAATCTTTGATTTTGATTCCCAATTTAATATACCTTATACTTTTTCATAAAAATTTTTGTATGTTTCATTTTATCCTTAACTTTTCATAACTTTGTTTTTTGGAAAAAATATTGATTTTTTTCTTTGAGGCTAGGCCATAAGACTCACAGCACTTTAGAGAGTATATATAAGTAGATATTTATGAATGTATGTCTATTTCCCAAAGGTACATATTACATACATACATAATAATAAGAAATTATAAAAATAAATTGCAATCCACTGAAAATGATTCTTTCTTCAATGAATACATATTGATATAGTAGATTTAGAAGGTTTACACAAAATGCATATATTATATGTATGTATGGTGGTTGAAGTTTTTTTTTTTTAAATCTAATATAAAAAATATTTATACATTTATTTACATATAGATGTTTTTGTATAGTTGTTGTTGTAAAGTGATAGTGGGTAGAGGAGGTGTAGATATACATATGTATGTAGTACATTGAGGAGTTTGTGTTAGAGTTATAATAAAAAGTGATTTTTTTTATATTTGAAATTATCTAAAATTATATGTAGAATGTATACTTGTATATCTATTTTGTATATTTAGGCAGTTAAGCCTAGGTATATGTATTTGTAAGGGCAAAGTGTTTTTATGTATATATATATATATTTCTATATCTATATATATTCTTTAGTAAGTTTGGTTTTTCGTTCCTCCTTTTGAAATACCGTATGTCTGCGTGGATATTATTTAATAATAGTGATACATAACTTTCTTCGCTAGTTACATTGTTGTAGACTTTGGGTTGTGAATTACACGCTATTAATATACATATATCAATAAGCAGATTTTGTTACAAAGAAAGAAGAATGTGGATTCTGCATCATTTGACAGAAAGCTCTTAGTTCTGGCTTTACTTCGATCCACTTCATCGCACAACCTGCTTATTATTAAATATAAATTAGTTTTATTCTATTTATAATCTAACTCTGAAGCCATTGATGCTTAGAAAAAAGTAGCGACAGTTGTGCTCAAATGTATTTTTGTTTTGGAAATTTCAAATTGTGTTTTACATAATGTTATATATAATAATGTAAGTTAAGAATTTACAGATTTGAAAAAAAAAGATTTTAGTCATAAAAGTAAATATAATACTATTTTAACTGTTCATATTCATACGATATGTAATACGGGATATGCGCTGTTTTGGGGTGTGTTTCTTGTTCAAAAATAGTTTGCTGTCCTTATATTCCAAATGAGCACAGCTGCCGGGACTACTTTTTATAAAATCATATTATCTATAATATCTAAATACTTTGTTCATCTGTCGAAAGAACGGACCAGCTTCCGCTAGAACTTCCGCTGCGTGAGCTGAGACATCGCAAACTGTCTTTCCATTGATTTTCGCGATGGATATTGCAACAGTAAATGACATTGCCTTTGCTCCAAGCCACCACTGCACCAAGGCCCGCTATTATTGCCTCGGTATTTATTATACGGCAGATTGGGCGTCTGCCAATGCCCTACGTGTGACCTTTGTAGCTGCTGTATGTGTGGCTGTTGTTGCGCTCGTGCCGGTGTCTCGTGCATTGGAGACGCATTTCTTATTCATCCGCTTGGTGGCGCATAGGCATAATGTCAGTTATTCGACGACGCAGTCGAGGAGGTAATGGACGCGGGTGAGCCAACGGCTGCCATAGCGCTGGAAGTTCCAATGCTGGAGAGTGAAGAAATGCGCGCACGTTTTTCACTGTTTGTGCCCTCAGTGGGATTATCACTTTCTTCGCCGTTACTAAAATTGCCTGGCAGGCGACGTTTCAGACTATTATTCAAACCATTAGCGATTGCTTCATCTTCCGATGTGGAATTGGCGCGTTTTGGCGTGTTTGTTGCGCTGTCATTATCGAGTGAGGCGATGGCGGTGGCAGCCGCGATCGTTGCTGCGCTAAAGCCGTCTTCGGAAGCGCTGTCTTGCGAAACGATGGCATTGTGATTAGTGTTCGGCGGTGATGACTCGACCAATCCGCCACTTCCACTACTGCTAACCGCACTCATGCCCGAAGGTGTGGTGTAACTGCCCAATTTGTTTGGGTCCTTCTCAATCAACTTCTGTGCTAAAGTTTTCAGTGAGATGAGTGAGTTCTCACAATCGCTTGTGTCGATTTCGGTTAGACTGATGCCAGCGCGTTCGATTTCGGCATAAGTCCCGAATGGTAACTTTTGTAAACATTCCAATTTTTGTACGTGTGTTTTCGATCGCAAGTGTTTAGCAAGGTGCCCATGTATGCGAAAGGCAATTTTACAATCGGTGCATTCAAATGGACGTGGATTGGAAGTCGTCGGTACACCAAATGTGGACGTCATCATTACCTTATTCTTATGCGCCTCGGCACGTTCATGTTTTTGCAGATGACCTTGCGTACGAAAGGATACCCCACACGGTTCACAGCGGAACTTACGCTCCATATAATGAATATTCATGTGTAGCGACAACTGACCCTGCGTCTGAAAGGTTTTGGTGCAAACTTTGCACACAGGGCGTCCATCGGGCGATATGCGTCCTCGTGGATATACAGGTTGTATCTCTTTATTACTAGAATTCTTTAGTCCATCTTCACCCACAACCACCGTACGTCCGGGTGCAGAGAGGACGCCTGTGAATTCGGTGGTGCCGGGTTGAGCAACCACTGCAGGCAGTTTGGCATTATGCGACTCAGCGTTTGCGCTGTTGTTGGTAGATGTAGAGTTACTAATACTGCGGCTGCGTTTAGCTGCCGTTGTTTGCTCTTGATCCGAAATACATTCACTGTCTTCGCCTTCATCGGATGATTTAGAAGAGACCGTAACGCTTGTAGATTTGGTACTCGACGAATTTTTGCTAGCGCTGACACTGATGGGCGCGTTGGCTTTAGTGCTGCTCGGTATTGTCGTCACATCCTGGACATTCTTCGAATCCTCAGTTGGTACCTTACTAACTTCGATTGTCGGTATCGACACAGCGGTGGTACTCTTCTCTTGCGTCTCGTTGGATGCACTATCCAAAGGCTTGTAACCAATACTATTTGCCGTGTTCAAGTTTATGGGGCTAGCGGTTGTTTCTGTACTTTCACTTGTTAACACCGCTGTAGACGCTATGCTAGCAGAGATTCTAATGCCATTATTGGCACTTGCTGCTGTTGCCAGGGCTGAGCCAAGCCCAGCATTTGCCACACTCACTGTAGCCATGGCAGGTGTGCTGACAAAACTCTGGTTAATGGCACTCACATTGATTGCATCCGGGAAGCTTTGGTTCATTTGGATTTGCTTGATCTTATGATATTGGAAAGCTTTGTGGTATTGATATGCTTGAGAGAGCTCATCACTGTTCTTGTAGTTCTCTAACATCTCAGTCGAGCTGCGTACTTTGTCCGACACAGAGATAAGCGTTTTGAGGAAGCCAGATTCGTTGCTGCTACTACCGAAGATAACGTCTCGTATTTGGGCTTGTGTCTGTACAGGTGGACTGGGGAGTGACACCGAGTTCTTTAGGCTAAATTCTGCGACTGCTGACGCGCTGGTTACAATCATTTCAGTCGCGGTTACTACTGCTGTTGTGGCTGTTAGCGTAGCATTTGGTACGACTCGTGGTTTGGTAAGATCAATTGGAGCGCTTTCGTAACTGGCTGAGGCGGTGTTGTTGTTATGTTTTGGTTTCGATTCTTCGGGATTGGAGTAGTATTGCTCTTGTTTCTGATAGTCGAAGGGTGGTTTTGGTGAACTAAATGATATGACTCGTTTAATACCGGTGGGATGGATGCTGCTGGTGGTGGTTGCTGGCACCACGTTGGGGTGTCCTACGAAGGAAATTGCAGTTGCTTCGTTTTGCTGATATGGATTTGGTTCACATTTTGGATGTGGTGAAATACTTTGACCTATGGGTGGTGTCATCGAGAGTGAGAGTAGACAACGTGCAGCCTCATGTTCTAGCAGACGCGACTTCGACTCGTCAGTATCTGAATGGAAGGAAAGTAATATGGGTTAGCTTGAATAAAATAAGAAGCTTTGTAGTACGGATAATTACGCCTACCACTGCTTTCGGACTCGTTGTCACTATAATCATCTGAGTCCGATTCCCCTGGAATGGACGATGTGCGTCCACCAGCCGAAGTGGTTGATTGTTGATCGAATTCCGGTTCTGGTTCCAGAAACTCCCCATCGGCTGGCATGGGACCGGGGTTGATACCGAGCTCCAGACATTTTTTGAAATGCGTTTTAGACTGCATGTGCTTAGTGAGATTTCCCTTGGTTTTGAAGCTGAAATTCAAGTGACAGTGTTGAATATTTTCAAGACATTGGTTTGAGTAATTGACTTACCTAAAATTACAGTGTTTGCATGTGTAGGGCCGCACGTCAGTGTGTGTGCGTATGTGTTTTTTCAGCATTGAGGGTTTCTTACACCTGATACCGCACTCTGAGCATACGTAACGCCCTCGACCGCGGCCACGTATGTAAGTGTAGTCTTCGTGTGACTCATAGCCGCCTACTAACATTTGACCACTTGCTGGCTCCTTTTTGACGCCACCATCCACGCTCCCGCTACTATCTGTGCTACTTTTCTTCAGCTGTTCACCACTCTCCGTTGTGTTGGTGTTGAGAGCGACTTGTTTCAATTGATGATGCTGGTATTGGCCTTGATTATTCTCAAATGGCGTCATAACGGTATGTTGGGAGACTACCAGCGTATAGGGCATCCTATTTGTGCCAGCCATGGTGCTGGTGGAAGTCTTCTGCCGCGAGTCATATAACGACATCACCAATTTAGGCTTGAAGCCCAATGGATGTGGGTTATTTTCAGCGCACACCTTCCACACGCTGTACATGGAGAGCTTTTGAGCGCCCGCAACGTACGACGCCTGTGGGCAGTTCACCGTGCAGTAGAACATTTTCGTGCTGCATTTTAGACCCAAATAGGTATAGGCGTGGCCGTTTAGGTAGAGTTGAACACACGATTTCGATGGACGTGGCGTTTCTGGTGAGATCAGTGGTAAAGTATTGGCAGTTGGTGTGATGCCATGATGCCTCTTCGGGGTGAAGGTTCCTGGCTTCAGTGGTAGACTAGTTGGTCGCAAAAACTTATTTTTCTTTGTCTCGGCATCGTTGGGATCTGGGCCACTGCTATTCGCAGACGTACCCGCTGAGTTAGAAGTAATGTCGACATGTAAAGGTGTGAGTGTTGAGCTTGCTGGTGAGTTAATCTGGGTGTCCTTGCTCAAATGGTCGAAATTGAAATGGCGAACTTCATTCACGGGTGGCGAGCTCTTCAACACGTTAATGTTGCTGGCTTTGCGGGGGCTTACATTGTCAGCCATACGTGTGAAATTGAATGTTTTTTTCGGTACTTCTAAGCCGTTGTTATAGACAGATTTCGTGGAAGAGTTCGGTGGAATATTTTGAGTTGAGTTTCTAGCCGATCGAATGCTTGTTACTGATGAGCCTCGTTCAAACTCATTAGGTATTCCTTGGAATGGCGATGATGACTTAAGATTTTCCTGTTGAAGTAGAGTCATGCTCTTGGGGCTAGCACTGTTTGATAATAACATTGGACTCTGTGTTTTTTTTCGATTTGGGCTTAGTGTGCGCCCACCCGATAATATTTGGGACGAAACTTGCGGCAACTGCAAATGTTGCGGAGGAGGTAATTGTGGCGTTAGACTGTTAGGACCTGGTATACCTGGTACATGTGGAATAATTTTCTCACCGCCACCGGACATATTATGCAGAGGTGGCAGTGTTAGGGGATTGAATGCTGTTATCGGGTTAATAGAAAACTGAAAATTCGGGGGTCCATTTGAAGGCAAACCGAGCCCGTTCAAGCCTAGCTTTGGTGTGAAAGCCGAACTACTGCTGAAAGTTAAGCCACTGATAACATTTTTGTTCTCTTTGTCCTTCGGTTTGGGTGAGACCTCTTGAAAACTACCGCCTGACAATAGCGGCGTACGAATCATTTTCGGACTCTTATCGACGTCGCTGCATTCGGAAAGCGGTATTATACAGCCTCCGGAAGAAGCGAAACGACGAATGCGTTCTTCCTTTTTGACAAGATCGCTGGTACCTGGGTTCGACAGCAATTGCATGTCACCGCCGCTGATGGTGTTGATACTTAAGCGCTTGCTAGACGCTGCAGTTGTTGTACTTCCACTGCTGGCTGGTGCTGTTCCGAGAAGAAAGGATTCAGCGTTGTCTAATGCCATTTTGGGTCGTTTCGCTGGCAGCACATGTGAATCAAATTGACGATCTTCGTGCATTTTCGTTATGATCACATCTTCCGATTTTCGCGCATCACTGGTGTTACCAAAGTCGACAAGTGGTGTTTTTCCCAAAAGTGGCCCGGGTGATGGAAGTGGTGCATCGATTAAGCGCACAATGTTCGGATCGGGTAATGCGAGAGCACTGGGTAGTCCGCTGGGTGGTGTACATCTCGGTGAAGCGACGCAGCTGGCAACGCTACTACTGCTCGTAGAGCTAGTCGGCGCTGTGGATGTAGCTGAAGTGGTCGTGGTTGTAGTGGCCTTAGAACTGCCCGCTTGCGAGGCGCTGAGACGACTCAGAACCAAGGAACTGGGCTTCGTGCGTAGCTGATACCAGGCCAATTTGGCGAGTGGTAACGGATCACGAGAACGGAAGATGGTGTTCTTCAGTTCGGGCAAATTTAAAGTCATTGAGTTAGAGCGAAAGTAGCGATATGAGGGCGATCCTACCGGGCTTATAGGCGCGCTACTTGCACCCTGGCAGTAAGTACTATTATGCAGCTGTAGATCCTCTGCTGTGCGGAACGTATTCGAACAGAGAGGGCAATTATAAACAGCGTCCTCACCCTCTCCAGTTGGCACGGCTAAGCCGCGTGCGTTCAGCAACAGGTTTTTAATAATGGAGACGTTCGTTGGTTGCTTAGTATTTGTTGAGCCGCTACTGGTTGTTGCAGATATGGCCGCCATCGAACTGCTTGTCATGCCATCATTACTGGAATTGGATATTTGGGTTTCGATGGATTGGCGCTTATGCGGCATGCTGCTCGGGGTGCTGGCTGGAATGGTTTCGGTTTGCTCCTCTTGACGAGCATTTGGTTTCGCGGAAAGATTTAATGGCGCATTCATATTTGCAATCGAAGTGGGCAATGTGTTCACCTGTTGCATGGCGAAAGTGGTTTGCTGTGCAGTTGAGGGCGGTGGAGTCGGGCGCCGCGTATCTTGTGATGGTATGCCTGCTGATCCAATCACTGACTGTTGCTGCTGTCGATAAGAAGTTTGCATCGAATGCTGTTGATGATGATGCGGTGGTTGTAAGTGTTGGGGTGGAACCGATGATGTGTTGCTAGGTTTTGTTATTACAGAAGCTGACGTCATATGCTTGGATATGCCGTTAGGCTGCAAATGTTGTTGTTGAGGCATCGGCTGTTGTTGCTGATGATGCAGTTGCACTTGCTCTTCCATACGAAGTTGTGCGAGATGTTGTTGTTGTTGCTTGGCTGGCGGCGGCATTTGCATTGCTTGCGTGCCCACCAACAGCTGCTGCTGAAATTGCTGTTGATAGTGTTGTTGCTGCTGCAGCTGTTGCTGTTGCTGCAACTGTTGTTGTTGCTGCAACTGTTGTTGTTGCTGCTTTTGGACGATGGCTTGTGCGAGTTTTGCATTGGTGGCACTCTCGCTTCCCCCCGCTGAGGTGGTGGTGACCAAACCAATGCTGTTGCCGGTATTAGACGTTGAGCCAGCTGTAGAGCCGCTAAGGTTTGGCCCACCACCGTTATTGTTGAAGCTACGAGAGCGGCTAAGACCCTTTGGATATTTTTTTTGCAAAAGTACCGCTTTATTTTCTACAATCGCTTCATTTTGTGAGATCAGCTTGGTAATGTGCTCCTGTACGGCATTGGAGATATTGCTGTGTAAGAGGCCGGGGCTTATTGTGGGTGTGGTGTTGCTGCTGGCAGTACTCACCACACCGACGGCAGAGGTTGTGCTGGTGTTGGTGAGGTATGACAACGGGGTCTGCTGAGTTGGCGGCAGAACTGTTCCTCCTACAGGCATTTGTTGCATGCCCGTCATGAGGGCCGAGCCTGCGAGCTGGGCCTGTGGACCACTGGGCGCTCGGTTATGCACGGTTTGCGTGACATTCGATTTGACCACTGTAGGGGGCGTGGGTGGAGCGTGCGTTGGGGGTACATGCTGCAATTGCTGTTGCTGCTGCTGCGTTACTTTGTGGAAGTGTTGCTGCAACTCTTGTTCTAGCCACTTGTACGGATAGTGTAGCTTCTGCCTACTATCTGGCATCATCATGTGCAAAGCGTCAGGTGGAAAATCGATGCAGCCTGGATAGAGCACACGTGCCGCGGGCATATAGCCCATGTTAGCCGCGGCAGCTGCCGCCACCGCCACCGCGTTTATCATATCGGGGCGTTGAACAGCGTTTTTAGGCGGCAATGCCGCAACGTGGTGTAACGGAATGCCGGCATTGAGCGGCTGCAGCACATGTAGTGCTTGTGGCAGTTGTTGTTGGTGTTGTTGCTGCATCTGCAGTTGCAGTTGATGGGTATTAATATGGTTGTTCAATTTCACTTGTGTACTGGGCGAGAGTGACGGGTGATGCGCGGTTGTTGGTGGTGGTGGAGTCAACGGAGTTTGGCCTTGTGGTATTATGGTCGTCAAATGCACCGCCGGGGGCGTAGGTATACTATTTGTCGACGTAGCTTGGGCCAACTGCTGATGAGGTAGGGGCTGATGCTGGAGCGACAATGGCTGGAGCAGGCCTGGAGGAGGAACCACACCAGCATTGGCAGCCTTCGCTGCTGCCTCTTTTATCGAAGCGTATAAAGCAGCATTGTGGAATTTCGGTTTGTACGGTTTATGCTCGGTGGTAGAGCCTGTCTCTTTGGTTGGGGTCGCAACGGCCGTAATTGTGGTTGCGGCGATGGACGTGTTCGCTGAAGGTGGCGGTGGCAGGGTTCCGGCAGCAGGCGAGCCGAGCGGATATTGTTGTGTTTGTTGTGGCGAGGGTTGTTGCAGGTAAGCGCTTTTTGTTGATGACAGAGAAGAAGGCGAAAGTGTGGAGGGCAACGCGAGATGTGGCGATTGTCTAGCGCTGACTTGATGCTGCTTCTGCTGTTGGATATTCTGCAGCTGTTGTGTATTGATGCTGTTTGCCGGCGCGTTTGCGCTCAATGCCGCAGGTGAGATGGCGTTACTCATCTCCTCAAGTGGCGAAGCGGTGCGACTTATCTGCTTCAATTTAAATAAATGAATAAGGAATGAGACAAATTTGTAGAAGGTTATTCTACTTACCACATCTGAACTGCTATTGCTCAACTCCGGATCACCCTCTTGATCGGAGCCACCGAATAGCCCATCCTCGGCGCTAATGGGTACTTCAATACCCCGTTTGCGTGCGGCGTGTGAACGCGATCTGCAGTTTAAAGATAAAAAGTAGAAAACTTCACTACAAACAGGCTTTGCACTCTGACTTACCGGCAATGTTTGTAATAATTGCTGTTCGTTTTGAATGCTATGCCGCAAATGTCGCATGGGTAAGGTCGCTCGTTGGTATGCGCGCGTATGTGTTTCTGCAACACTGAGGGCTTTGTACAATTAAGGTTACAATAGGGACACACATAGCGCCCAGTGTTGGCAGCCACCGTGCTGGGAAGAGTGCTGTTGTTACTGTTGACTCCACTTTGGCTATGTTGAGTCTCTAAAAGTTGCAACATCGTTTGAGGCAGCTGCTCCATGTCCAATTGCTGCGCTGAGGTGTCGTTATTATAGCTTTTGATTTCAAGTTTCCCGCTTATGTCTGCAAGTGCACCGGTATATTTTACAATATTCGTAGCTATGGGGCTCGTATGCGTTTCGCCGTTTGCCAGCGTTTTGGCGAAGGTTATTTGCTCATTATTGGTTGCGGCAGACGCGGCGCTCGGCGTCGTTGCTGGTGGGGGCGAGATGGAGCTCGTCGAAGCGGATGATGATGATGAGGATAATGAGGTGGTACGAATTTGCGCCCTCTCACTGCCAGCCTCACTGCTAGCACTACTTCCTGCCGCATTCAAACTCTGACTCTCCGCCGCCACGAGGCTGTCCACATCTGTCGTGCTCGCGAGGCGTTTGAATTTCTTATGTAAATACCGAGCATTATTCCAGGAATTAGTATCTGCTGTTGGCGCAGCTGAAGGCGCCGCATCCATTGCACTCTCCGAGGGCTTGTTGGTAGCAATTGTTGCTGTTGAGGTTTTCTTATCACCACTATTGTTGCTGGCATCCTGCTGCTCCGGTTGCTGCTGATGCGACTTGTCGCTCCGACTTAATGTACTAAGATTATTTCTACTTGAACTACTATTACTATTATCACTCTGTTTGCTGTTGCTACTGCTACCCGCGGCGTTGTTACTGTTGCTGTTGTTATTGGCATTTGCTGCGGTCGTTTCCAGTGATTTTCCCACAGTCTTTTGTTCTCCTTTAGCGTCCTTTGCTCGGCTGCCAGCCCCCCTACTGCCAGTGTCAGCACCTATAGCTAGCGGATCTTTAATAGAGCCAACAGCAGTCGTCCCTTTGCTGTTTTCTACGGAGTTTGCAGCCGTTGCCGCGACACGTTGAGCCGCAGCTATTGCCGCTTTCGCCTGTTTGGCTGTCTGTTTCTGTACTTTGATGTTGTCACCGCCTGCATGACTTTCGGCGCCGTCGCTGTGCGTGCGGTATGAGCCGCGTCGTTCCGCAGAACGATGATGATTATTTTGTAATTTTGCTGATTTGTTATAGTGCTTTGTTGTTGTTGTGGTTGAGGCAGCTTCCATATTGCTGTTGATGTGATTTTTTTGTTGTTGTTGTTGCGATTGACGTGATTGCGTTGTTGTACCACCGGGATCATCTGCAAAGGAAGATATGCACAGAGATTATATGAGATGCAGTATAATTTGAGAGCGGGAGAGTACTGTGTAAGCACATTACACAATTGTGAGAGAATCTGTCTTAGGTGTAGAAAGTTGTCGTTGGATGTACTTCGATTTTGGTTGCAAACAACAGTTTAAAGAAATTTGAAACTAAAAAAAAAACTTTGAAGAAATAGGTGATAAAAGTTTCTTTGCTAAGTTAAAAGAAAAACGTCTAATGATTAATACATTTTCCAAGCCAAACGAAAAACAAATAAAGAACGCTCTGTGGGAATGAAATTAACGAAAGTGATTCGAAGAAAATGTATTTTATTTATTGGGACAAAAACGTTGCAGCAAAGCAATTACTAGGAATACCATTTGAGATTCAGCATTTCATTAAGCATAATTGAACAAAATTAAATATTTTATCAAAGAAAAAACCGTCTTTCCAAGTCTGGTTTCTAAAATAAGCATAATGGGGTACTTGGAATTGCTTTTGTTTCCTTTTCCCTTAAATTAACAAGGAGGAAGCTCCATAACCGACTAGCATTGACAAAGAACGGCCTGGTTGATTGTTACACCCTATGGAATTGTATTAAAAAATACGCCTTAGTGGATCTAGTAGAAGATACCTTGTTATAGAGATAAGGGAAAATGCAATTTATCGCCTTGTGTACTCTGAATGAAATGCGAAAGGTATACTTCTTTTAAACCACTTTCCCTTTGATATGCTAAAGGAGAAATAAAACCTGCAGTTATTGTTAAGTTAATAATATAATATTTAAAAATTATATGATCTTATACATAACAAGAGTGTGCTAAATGATGTGATGAGAATGCAGTGAAAATTTCGCTAATTTAGTATTACTCGTGCTCTGGTGATTCCAGCGAAATACTGCGTGACCAGAGAACATACATTTTGTAGGCTCACGCTTAACTTTTTCTCTGAATTTTCAACTAGCCAGCCACTTTGTCTGCGGTTTCATTTTCGTCGAACTGCGTGTGACTAATTCAACAGCAGAAAAGCAAAAATTAAATATACAATGCTAAAGAGGTTTTATAGAAATTTTTTTGTTTGCCTTGAGTAAATTGATATTGACTGTTTCTTGATAAATTATTAAAACAAGTTTTTCCTCATGAAGTTTTTTAAATTTTTCTTCTTCATTTATTTCTTTTCTTTACCCGTTCTGTTTTGATTGGCAGAGAGTGTTAAGAAAATATTTATAGGTACACGTAGGTGAACAGATAATTTGTATTGTATATGCACTCATATGCACACAAATTTTATCTGCTTGCTTTTATTTTGTTTTTGGGAAATTCGTTTTTCCAAAGCTCGTCTCGTCTGATTTATGATGCGCGCCAGCATTTTCTCATTTACATTATTTGCTTTTCGTGTAGTTTTTTTCAGGTGCACAAAAATATGTGATTTTGAGTATTTTTACTTCACTTAAAGGTTAAATCAGAGTATAGGTGGGCGTGTGTTGCTTTAAATAATTTCATTTAAAATTGAGATCATTATCAATAACTAATTCTCAGCGTTATATATACAAAAGAATATAAATATATCGTCATGTATGTATGTGCAGCCTTGCGAAAAATATGCCTTGTTTCCCAAATACAATTGCACAGCTAAATGATAATTAATAAAAATTAAAAAAGTGAGAGTCTGAAAGAGTACGAATGTGAATGAAAACGGAGTGGAGTCGACCAAACTTGGGTCTTCCGAGTCACTTAATTGCTGTGCTGATAATGTTGTCACTGACGTCAGTAGAAGTCAAGTGATTGACGTGATAGCAAAGAAAACACCAGCGTAAAAAATATCGAGATTAAAAATTGAATTATGTACATACATAAAAATCAAATAAAATAAAAATAAGTCAATAAAGTAGATCCAGATAAGCGCTTTGTGCATATAGCAATCGTTTTCCTAAGAAGAGTTGCAAAGAGGGAAGATAAGCTAACACAAAGTAACAGCATTAATTAATGCCATTAAAATGAAGAATCGAATTCCCAAATAATCCAGATTTACAATTACATTTATATAAAATACATACATAGGCACGCAAGTGTCTATATTTGAGCTCTGTAAGTTGCCAGCTCACTGACTCATTTAACCAACAGACTGCGCGACTGGTTTTATCAACTGGGTGTATGTAAGTAAATACATAATTACATACATACATACTTTGAAATTACGACTGCCGTGTGATATATTACATTTCATGTGTCAGTAGTGATAACAATAAAAGCAAATAGTAAGAGAATAAATAAATATAACATAATGTGGTATTCAAATACACTATTGCCCGATTAGAGTGCACACATTTTATCGCCTCTACGCTAACTCGCTAACTCACTAAGCCGCCAACTGACAAACTTACAAACCCACTCACTCCACCGTCCGTTAAGTTCTTATCACTCCCACACATACATATGTACATCGCATTTATTATATATTCTTATTTAACGGTGCCGCTTTTGCAATTAAAATCTTTATTTTTTGCTCCCTTTGCTCAGCATTCAACGTGGATATTTAATTTCTTATTTCTTTTGTACTATTCTTGGGTCTTGTTCAACTCACTTTGCTCTAATTTGCTTGGCAGACTGAGGATATTTGCTGTTTTGATTGCTCGCTTCAAAATTTTTGCAAATTCATTCAGTAAATAATCGTACACATGTATAAATATATGTATGTATATATTTACAATTCGCTACATACTGACTGTTTGCGCAGATATCCAGCCAGCACACGCAATCATCGTTAGCTCAGTCATACGAGTACTCCTATCTCCGCTTTCCCTGCTTAGGTCTCTTCCGTCGGACAATAGCTGGCGGCAACAAGTGTGCGAAATATTGAAAAAACAAGTAAGAGCAAAGAGAAGTGTATGCACGTGTACACTGAAGAGTCTGAATTGAAATTACACCGTGTGTGAGTAAGTTAGAGCGGCAGGAAGTGTACACACACATATGCACGCAAGTGTACGCGGGTTGCCTTCGCGCCTCAGCGGTGCGCCCGTGCGTATACTTAACACAGATTAGCATTATTCAAGATACGGCGGCTTGGCCGCCATATTCGCTTCACTTTGTATTTTTTTCTTGCACCCACAGATTTAGAAATAATAAACTTTTTTGCCATTGCGGTTGTATTTTATCAATGTGACTCAGTTGCGCCTGTTGATAAGATTTATCAGTCGGTATTTATAGATATTTATGAAAATTTCCTCCGAACTATGTTTTTTTTTCTTTTTTATTTAATTTTTGGTAAGCACTTTTGTGTTCGATAATGAAGATACAAATTACTTTTAAGTTAAGTTTATTCTAATGACTGCAGTGAGCGAGTTATTGACGAATTGTAGGTGGGTTTGAAATGCTTTCAGATTGGTTACTCCTAAATTACAAGGAATGATAGGTGAAGGCGCAAGTTTACCAGAAACGAATCATATTAGTTTAATTCAAAAGCTTATATAAAGAGAAGAATCCAGCGAATGTTGTGTCGTTGAACTGATTGAACTGACGACATGACGATATTAACTAATTTGTATGTCGGCACGTACATATGTATGTGCGTGTATATGTACACGTGTATGTATGATTGCCCCACCACAACCTGGAAAGTATTGTCTGATGATTTGTAATGTGCGTAGTTTTGAGAAATACCATTTATTGAGAATTTTATAGTGAGCGCTTCACTGTATTTTCTCTTGCGTGATTTATTTTTAGATCCTTCTTTGTAAAATGTTCATTTGTTCACATTCTCCTCACTGTTGTTGCCATTTATTCATGATAGTTGATTAGCTTTTCGCATGTTACTGCATATGTACATATGCCTGCATGCATTTGACAATTACTGGTATATATGTATAAGGTACAATCAATTTCAGGAGGAGAATTATAGGAAATTAATTGGATGGTATCCCATTTTCTCCGTTTGACAAAAAATTAACATTTTGCAGCATTAAGTAGTTGTAGTATTCGAAGGTTTTGGCAGCTGTTGATTCGATTAGACTAAGCTACTTTCTTTTAAATCTATTTAAAATATGTTTGAAAACAGTTATTTTATTGTAGACTTCCAAGTCGAACAAACTTCTCAGACTAAACACCTAGAATTTTCGGCACGTAGCTAGATACACATATATATGTATATACATATGTATATGTACGAGTATGTACACAAATATTGTACTATTTGCGATGCTCAATGTGAATTCAAAACAAATATTTACGTGTTTACAGTTTGGCTCTGAACATTCATACATACATTTGCACATGTAAATATGTATGCATGTAGGCGCTTATTGTCTCCGTGCAAAGTACAAAGGTGCGCGTTAAAATGAAATTATCACTTAAATGACAGCAAATATGAACACATACAAACGAACAGGATGAGCGTCGGGAACGTTGTATAACAATGTGATAACAACAACAATGCCCAATGTAAGTTTGCAAGCACTCCAATTATAAGCAAGCGTTTATTAGTTTATTTGCTTTTGTGTTTTAAAAATTCAGCAGTAGAAAAAAGCTGCACTTAATGACGCTGAATGTGATAATGACGACTCGAATAGCAGAGCAGGCAGAAAATAAATATATATGTACACGTACACATGTACTTATGTGAACACACATGCAGGGGGTATATGAAGCTATTAGAACCTATATTAAATTTCAATAAAGAGCCATCAGTGCCATTACCTCATTGGCGGCAAGTTGCGTGCAAGCACCATGAAAAGAGGCGAAGCAGCATCACGTCCGCGTTTCGAAAATATAGAGAAGAATGTGTAAATGTGACCCGTATATGACAGCACGTATGTACATAAGTAAATAAGAATTTATATGAACACATATTTGAAGTTAATCTAATGCTAATGGTTTCGAGGTTACGATGAGAATTTTCCAGGAAAATTCTTTTACAATTGCAAAGTGATTGAATTCAACGATAAAACAGTTCGTAAATTCGGCGAAACCAAGTCAGCTTTATTAAAAACGTAAAAACTGAATT